GTACCATCGAAGCCCATGACAAAGAGCTGCCCCATCTGCCTGTAGTCAAACTCGCGCATTTTGGCGAGGTTCTCTGTTAGCTCAAGCACGTTATCTTCATGTCTGGGATGCAGAGCAGCATCCATCAATCGAGTTGCAGAGAGGATATGTTGGGGAAACACAAAAGAACGTCAGATGGATTGGCATGGAGGGAGAGGGGGGGGGGGGAGAGGGTAGTGACAGGATGCAGCGCGATTGATTTGCAGTAGCAGAATGTTTCCGCGATTCGAATGGCGATGGTTACATGCTATGGGAAGCGGAGAGAGAACTTGTTTACATGTAGGCAGGCAGGCAGGTAGGTATGTACAGTCCATCGATGAAATCAACCACATGGGAGCAAAGGGTGTTTGCAATTGTAACAAAAGGTTTCAGCACGAGAAGTTGTTAAATCCGAAGCCTACCTACCTATCCAAGTTCTCCCACTCGAGAGGAAGCTCGATCTCCATGCCATCCATGGGGTGATGCATAAGCAGCATCCGCTGACTGTGTCGAACCTGTCTATCTGCTGCTACCACCTTGGGTTTCGCCCAGGCGGCTCCGCACTACTCAGCCGAGTTCCGATATTCGCGACCACTCGGACTCGGAGCAGATTTAGAGGAAGGAACCTCGCGGGTAATCACCGTGTTCTGCCGTAAAACGGATAGGCAGAACAGCCTACACGGGTTTGGGCGCAGTGGTGGGATTGGCGGCGCCTTGAGAGGTGGTAATCAACTGCCTAACTGACTCAACGGAGGGAGGTGGATCGCGCGTGGGGCTCGATGGGCAGCAGAGCTCAACGGGCGACGATGGAAGAAAGGCTGCTGTTACGGTCACAGTTCGTGAGTCGCAGTGCAGTTGGAGTTGCAGATGGAATGTGGCGCCGCCAGCAACCAACTAGCTCCCATGATCAATCGGAATTAGATTAACCAAGGTCAGCTAGCTGGCGCTAGGGGGTTTCTCAAGCTAGCAAGCTCGCTAAGCGCAAAGCCAGCAGCGCGCTCAAGGGGGGGCTGATTGATATATACCAACGGTCGTTTGAGGCCGTGGAACAAACGAGGGGAAATATTGTTGACTCGTACGTCTGTTGGCCCCCTTTTGATACGGAAGTCTGGAGCGAGCGAAGCCGTTGGGTATGGTGAAAGATGAGGGTTGAAGTTGAAGAGTTGGCCCCGGGAACATTAGACCGCCTGTAAAACCAAGTAAATCAAGGAATTGTCGAAATGCTAGGTTTGATTAACTACTTGAAACGAGACATCAAAATTAAAAAATTATCTTTAACCTCTAGGATCTCGGTCCTCCTTGCGGGAAGTCTATTCTTCCGAACGCAAAATCAAGGAGCATGCGAAAAACCTATCAACCAGCGTCCTGGATAAGTAATGTTTTCCCTAATCCACTTAGTTACCCATGGTTCTCCGTGCGTATTCTAGGTTTTATCGCCACACTATCCAGATCCCAAATGAGCATACTGAGATGCCCGTTCGACGGGAAAAGAAGTTCTGAACGAACAAGAATATCCTGGCTGATCGTCCAACATCCAATGGCCCCCATACCTTACCCCGGACAGCAATGGACCAACCTTAATTGCTGTCCATCAACACTACAACCGTTACATTGCCCAGCGGACGAGTCGACCCTTGGAGATAATTTAAACTAACGGGAGCAAAAATTTGCCACGCACAGTACCATGTCCTTCATCTACACTTTGGGCCATACATACTTAGGTTGGACACGGGAGGCAAAAGGGGCGGGATGTTGGTTTGGTTCAAGTGCTCCGCAGAAAATATACATCCCCCTGACGCCTGGCCAAATGGGGCATTGGTTGGAGAGACTCGATCTTCCGTAGGTTTTTGAAATGGGGGCCATCTCGTTATTACTTGCCGCCATCAAGAGGGAGCTGTCCGCCATGTCACCCTACTTAGGTTTCTCCACTGCGACGATGATAAATTAACTATCAAATTTCGTGCTGGAATGCTTACTCAGCTAGCTGTCTATGATAGTTTTGAATAGAGAGTTAACCACTACAGCTGAACAAAATAATTAATTAGGCCATTCTTAATTAATCTTGCTGTGAGACTTCTAATAAATCTGCATGAAAATAAATGGAAGAGGCCAAAAACATACGGGACTGTTGGTGATTGATTGTTTGATCCTTCATTTTTCGATTCAACATCTTGTAGTTCTCTTATCCCTCCCCCGTTTCCATATACTTCAAACAACAATATTAACTCCTGCTGACAAAACCATTCCATAATAATTAACTCAAACCAACGGTAACCAACATTCTGCTCTCTCCAGCTGTTCCGTCTCCGTTGCTCGAACAATCCCGTCCATCTCAAGCAATCCGGAACACCGCCTCTACCCAACGTCACCAAGTTTTTGATAGCTATCGACCCGAGCTCAGGTCCCGTTCGGTAACCATCATGTAAGAAGATCCCATTTCCCCCTTCTCCTGGTTCCGCGCATATACGTTTTGACGGTTCCCATCTAACGTCTTGTTTTTGTTTGCAATGAAGGAGGGTTATCATCAGACAAGACCCACAGACGGTATCTGAATATGTCGCGGATTATATCATCAGTATGTGATGTCATTCGTCCTCTATATCTATAACTATACCCGTCTTCTCTTTTTGTTCATGCATATCCTACATGTATGTTCCCCACTGCTATAGTATATGGACGCCCCACTTTCTGCCTGTATTGATCCCGTAATAGGAGATCTCTACGGAAAATGTTATATACTTCATTCATTCATTTCCAATGCATCCTGCAGCTACGTGCGTGTCATTGCCATATGGATTTTAACTGGCGTGTGTTGTCTTCCGTGTAGGCCGTATCAAACAATTCAACCCCACCGCAGATAGGCCGTTTGTCCTAGGCCTACCAACCGGGAGCAGTCCAGAGGTCATCTACCGTATCCTGGTCCAACGGTATAAAGCTGGCGAAATCTCTTTCAGACATGTCATTACGTTTAATATGGTAGACAGACCCCCATCTAACATAAGTAAACTATGAATGAAGCCGATTAACCCCTCTCTCCAACCACCAGGACGAGTATGTGGGCCTTCCCCGCGATCACCCCGAAAGCTACCACAGCTTCATGTACAAGCACTTCTTCTCGCATGTCGACATCTCCCCAGCCAACATCAATATCCTAAATGGCAACGCACCAGACCTAGCCAAAGAATGTGCCGACTATGAAGCCAAAATACAAGCCGTGGGCGGCATCGAGCTCTTCCTCGGCGGCGTGGGCGCGGACGGACACATCGCCTTCAACGAGCCTGGTAGCAGCCTCCACTCGCGTACTCGCGTCAAGACACTCGCATACGACACCATCCTGGCCAACTCGCGTTTCTTCGGCAACGATGTATCGCGGGTGCCACGCAGGTCGCTGACGGTTGGGATCCAGACGATCCTGGACGCACGTGAGGTGGTGATTGTGGCAACGGGCGCACACAAGGCAACAGCGCTGCAGAAGGCGCTGGAGCGGGGTGTGAATCACATGTGGACGTTGTCAGCGCTGCAGCTGCATCCGCACCCGCTTATTGTGGCGGATGAAGATGCGACGCTGGAGTTGAAAGTGAAAACTGTCAAGGTATGCATATAAATATATATATATATATATATATGGATTGCAAAGCTCCTAGTATCACACGTGATGGCAAACGTGAAGATTAACCAATTTTGCAAACTTTCAGTACTTCGTCAGCATCGAGCAGTCCGGAACAGATGCACGGACGCAGGGACCACCCCTAGTCCATCGCACGAAGCAATATACGCAACCTTCCTCACGAGCCCTGACCCCGCCGCTCTCCTCTGACGAGCACGATGGAGCGACGCCGGAAAAGTCCGCCGCGCTCAAGATCGATACTTCTGGTTTCCACGCTAATGGAAATAGGGAAGATGAACTGGACGAGCTAACTCCAGATAGTATGTCATCGCGCTTAAAGGATTCGGCCATTGCAGGACTTGAAGAGACGATGATTGCTGCCGATGATTTGGTCTTTGATCGGATGCGGTCGAGAATTAATACAGCTGAGACGTGAGGCATGACCCATAAGCCAAAAGGGCGTGTTGGAGAAAGGAAAGCCTGGCTGGAGTCTTAATAACATTCCTGACATCGTGACACTGCTACCACCGGCTTCGCGGCTTCAGAGATATACATTCATTCACCAGAGAGGAAGACCACGAGTTCTGCCAGCAACCCTGTCCAGGAGATAGGAAGAGAAAATGAAAAAAAGAAGAAGAAAAAAAGAAACACACACAGAGAGAGATAGAGAAATCTAAGAAATTTCTACGATTTCATTAGCCGAATAATATTCTCGGGATCTATATGGCAATCCTCATCTTATCTCCAGTTTCTCCCCTAACATCTTAACTTATTTCGAAGACTGCATTCTGCGGACTGCCCATCCGATCAACCCACGGAGGTTGTCTTTGCAGTTTCTTTTTCTCTTTTTCTATGGTTCTATATGAAGGAAGATATTTTGTTGCCTTTTTCCCATTCTTTCAATTTGCCGCCTTCAGAGAATGTGTCAATTTGGATCCCCCCCTTTTTTTAACGACTTAATTCTGTCTCCATAGTCAATTTTTCTTACCGCTTTCAGGCCTTTTAATCCAACCCTTTTTTGTTTATTGCGCCCATTCTCCCATGCGTTTATAGCGTTGACTAATCGTTTTGAGATCTGCCCTGTTTATCAAGTTGAGTCATTTAATGTATCATACAGATCTAACAGTTAGAGAATATAAAGTCAAAATGCAGGATGCTGACCATTCAAAAGAGGGAGTTGCTGATTGGCGAATATGGGGAGTGTTCTTGGAATCACTGCGGAGTATGCATGTCCCCAGATCTCGTAGTTAACGAAGCGATTCGGTTATCCCGCCAGGGCTTCTCTGCCCCTTGAAAACACATATTTGTCCGTATCCAGATCAGAAAACCCTTGCTAAATCCCACAACCTCTCTATCAAGCTTCCTCCTTTTTTACTCAAAGCTTTGTAAATGCAGTGGCAACTCCGCCACTCATATCAACCAGGGTACTTTTATTCCGCACCCACGCCTCAAGACCTCTCCTCCCATTCTCAACCCCAACACCACTCTGTTTCCAACCACCCACACTCATCTCTGCCGGACTTTCCCCCCATGAATTAATCCACGTGATTCCCGCCTCCAGTTGCGCAATAACTTTGTGCGCCATATTAAGATTCTGGGTAAAAACACCCGCCGCCAGGCCCAGTGGTGTATCATTTGCTCTCCTCACGGCCTCCTCGACTGTATCATATGTGAGGATCGACATGACAGGGCCAAAAATCTCCTCCTGCACGATCTTCATGTTATCCTCGCAGTTCGTGAAGATCGTAGGTGTGACCCAGTAGCCCTTTCGCAGGTTTTCGGGGACGCTGGGAGCCTGCAGACCACCGTAGAGGAGCGTGGCTTTATCCTTCTCGATGCCGTGGCGGATATAGTTGATGACCTTCTCGTAGTGTGGGAGCGATACGAGAGGGCCGAAGTTCGTGTTTGGATCCATGAGGCAGCCAGCCCGGACATATTGCATCTTTTCTACTAGGCGGGTTTCAAACGCAGATTTTAGGCTCTTCGGGACAAAGACACGGGTGCCGTTGGTGCATACTTGGCCTGTGCTGAAGAAGTTGGCCATCATGGCACCGTCAACGGCGTTCTCAATGTCTGCGTCTTGAAGAATGATGAGTGGACTTTTGCCGCCCAGTTCCATTGTAACATATTTCATGTTTCCGGCGGCGGAGCCGGCAACTTTCTTCCCCGTCGACACCTGGCCGGTAAATGAGACTTTGGCGATGGACGGGTGAGAGGTGAGGTATGCACCAACATCGCCTGCACCGTAGACGACGTTGAAGACGCCCGGGGGAAGACCAGCTTCTGTATATATTTGGGCGAGAATTAAGCCATGAAGGGGAGTGAATTCGCTGGGTTTGTAAACCATGGTGTTTCCAGCGGCGAGGCAGGGACCTGATTTCCAAAGTGCGCTGCGGTGGTGGAAGAGAGATATTAGAACTTGTTCAATATGTTGCATATAGACTGGTATCTCATCTTTCTTACATTTGAATAGGATAATTCCATGCACCGATTCCAGCACAGACCCCCAGTGGTTCCTTTTTCGTATATACCCAAGCGTCCTCTCTCAGCTGCGTTGTTTCACCATTTAATCCGCCCCCGCCAACAAGGCTTGCAAAGTATTCTAGCACATCGGCACCTGTAACAACATCTACTGTGTTTGTTTCTGAATACGGTTTGCCCGTATCTTGTGTCTCGACCTTTGCAATTTCATCGTTTCTGGATCGAAGGATTCCCGCAGCTCTTAGGAGGACTCTGGTTCGCACAGCGGGGGGAGTCTGGGACCAAGCGGGGAAAGCTCTTCGGGCCGAGTCAATTGCCAAATCAACATCTCTGTTTGATGAAGATTCGATATCTGCTAGGACAGAGGCGTTGGAAGGGTCAATGGTCTGGAACAATTTACCCGAGCTGGATTGTTGGACTTTTCCGTCGTAATAGAGGCGTTGAGAAGAGTAAGGTGAGGGAGCCATATATATGTTTAAGATGAAATTTGGCCCACACGCTCACGTCGGAAAGTTCTAGAGAATACTATCTAAGTAAAAACGCAGGGTCTATAATCCGATGCTTCTTCGAAATTCTGTCTTTCCGAGCTGATGATTGAAGCTCTCGAGAAGGTTGGATTGCGGCCAAATCTGATCAAGTCACGTGGTATGATGTTGATCAAAAATTTCCAACTCGTTTAGTGGGCGTAGAAAAGACAACGGATGAGAGTTGTTGCTTCGAGGCAATTTAGGCTAATACAGCATATACAGTGTTGACATCAAATAACACCCGCAATATTACTTACGTGGACACAAGTTCTTCGCCTTGGGACCGTGATGACTGAAAAACATATTGTTGAATGGGTGGTATACTTACAACTCAATGAGAGACGACTAAACCGGGCTGTATACGGCACTGCACAGAGAGAAAGAAATGAAAAACCGACTACCGATTGCTCTGGAAGCAAAAGCGAAACCTTTAATTTCATGCGCAATTCAAGAATTAAAAGCATGTGTCTTCCATCTCGCAGACTCCACTCAACTCCACAATTGTGCATAAAAGTGTCATCTTCCTAACATCTGACTAACAAGGTTATATAGGGGTGTTTATCCCTTCTTATTCCTTTTCTGAATATAACATGGCCAGTTATGCGGAACCACCGTGAAGAAAGCTTTCCACGTCCACTCCTGTTCCGGGTTGGCTTGTCGGATATCATAGTCCCGCACGATCGTTGCACAAATCTTATTCAGCTCAATTCGAGCAAGGTTCTGCCCGGGACATGAGGCATAACCCATCCCCCACTATTAATCAATCCAACGAATATGGGTTAGCAAAAAACAAAGTTTATTATTATTACTTTCCTCGTTGTCCATTCCAATGGTCGGCTAGGATAGGGGCTACTTACTGGGATGAAATATTTTGCAAGGCGAAATGTGTCCTCACTCAGCCACCGGTCTGGGTTGAACTCGCGGGCATCTGGACCCCAAGTCTCCTTCGAGTAGTGCATAACCCAGATGTTGACCGAAACAATGGTTCCCTGAGGAATGGTCTGGTCACCAAAAGTTATGCCACCTTCAGGCGCAATACGTGGCAAACCCATAGAAGCCGGCCCAAAAATCCGGAGGGCCTCTTTGATACAAGCCTGCAAGAATGGCAACTTCTGCGCATCCGTGTACCTGACAACACGGTCGTTGATACCTGCTGTATCAATCTCAGCCCTCGCGCGCTTCCAGGCATTTGGATGACGGATCATGAAGTACACAAACGCCTGCAACGCCGTAGAAACAGTTTCATTGCCCGCAGCGACAGCGTTGAATGCAGCGCTGTGAATTTCGTGCAACTGCATGCGGTCAGGATGTTGCTGGAGCATGCGAAACCAATGGGCTACGGCATCCATACGAGCATCTGGGTTCTTCTGGCGCTCCTTAATGGCCGTCATGGCCGTGTCAATAAGGTGCCCCCAAGGCGTAATGTTCAGCCAGGTGATGACGGGGTTGCTGAGGAAGAGAATGTGGAACCATCGGAAGAAACCAGCGACCGAGACGTAGGCGGCCTGGGGGTGTGCATTGGCGATCGTATTGTTGATGTCGCGGCCTGCACGCGAGAAGCCGAACTGCTTGGAGAAAACCGCCTCACCGACAACATCAGAGGTGGTGAAGGTAAAATATTGGTCGAGATTGATTAGATTACCGGAGGCAGAAAACTTGTCCAGCCAGCCCAGAAGCAACTCGATTGTTTTGCTGATTCTGTCCTCGTTATGCAGCAGGTTGGAGAGTGTGTACGCAGGCGCGAGATGTTTGGACAATTCCATCTTCACCTTGGGATCCGTGGCGGACATGGGATTCTCGAAGCGACCATCCGGGAAGGCGATAACTTTGTACCAGCTGCCCTTGTGAAGCGGTGCCCCAAGGATCTTCCTGATGGCTTCAGGATGGCTGACACTCACCTCATTATGCGCCACGCGAACAAAGTGTCCTGGTTTTCCGCATTTCGGTTAGCGGAATTAAATTGATCCTAATAGCTAGATATGGAGAGCAAACATACCGTGCGTGTCATGTAAGCGAATAAGTTCTAGGTTCTGATCCCCTTTCAGAATGCGCAGAATATGCCACAGCCGAGTGAAGCTGGCTGTAAATGGACCTGGAATGTCGCTGATTGGGGAGAAATATCGACGCCAGATGCAGAGTGTCAGGGCAGCAAGTCCAAGCAGGCCAGTAATCTGCAGCCCACCCAAACCTGTGAGCTCTTTCAAACCTGCCATGACTTCCAAAATCGATGGCAAGGGTTTGGACGGGATTGATGGAGGATTGCGGGGCTGGGACTCTCTGACATATTATCCTACTCGAGTTCAATGTCAGCTTTGTGATTGGTTGGTCACCGATCAACTGGCGCATGGTTCCCGTCTCGCGAGAAAAGTGTGGGTACAGTGCTTATAGAAACACGCGATTCTTTCAAAAACATCAATGTGCACAACATTTGGGATAAGCTGCGATATTTCATCCCGTAGCTCGGATTTTGGCCTCTGGGCAAGTTTAGTTTATGTTGGTGAGCTAGCTGTCTTGTGGCTAATAGAAAAGCCTCTGGCGGAGCCTTTTCATTATTTAAACGGTGCTCCGTTTCTTCAGCACGTTCTTCCCCGCAGTTTTACCTCCGTATTTTGAGTGTTACAGATTTCCACCGTCAGAGAAATCCTATTTCCTCTCTTTTCTAAGTTTTGCCATTATTGCTCCTTTTCAATCTTCTCTACAATCAGCTGAAGAGGTCCATCAAGCCTCGACCCGAAACTTGATATAAAGTTTCAACGGCCTCTTCCAACTACGGGAGCGCAGCTGTTACGTGCCAATTGGAATGCTAGCCCTGTTCCCGAAGTCCCGAAGTCCACCACTAGCACACGCTTCCTTCAGTTTTAAGTTATCAGCTAGTTCAATCCTTCATTTTGACGCTTGTCTGTCGCTCCTTGCGGATCTAACCAATGGGATGAGCAGCTCATAAATTCTCTGAGGACCCGGCGTTTATATGGATAAACATATCCCAAGATTTTCCACATTTCTATTCCAGAAATTCTCGTTGGCGAAAAACTGACTGTTGATAATCAACAAGTGTCGCGAAGAATAGATGCAAGAAAAAATGAGATGCACTTCAAATGATTACTGTTATTTATTGCCATTTCCTATAGGGATATGCCCCCTTTTGTCTTCGTGATGTGATTTCACTTTGCTGGCTTGGAATCTTGACACAAGAGCCGTCATTACCTTGGCGTCTTTTAGTGATTGATTTTTAGGCTTGGCAGACGCCTCAAAAACCTCGGAGGGAGAAAAATGTTGCTAAATCAGCCCACAAATTCTTGAGAAGTTTCAAACGGCTCATTATTCCTCTCCTCTGCGTGCGGATGATACAACTGTACAACTTTTCGAAGAAATAATGAGTTGGGTATGACCGAATATTGGATGTCCTGCTTCTGCTCCCAGGCTCCCTTTAAGAGTTGTTATTCTCGCATGTTTTGCACTTGGCTATGATTATTATCATTACCATGACTTCTCCCAGATGCATATGGAGGCTTTGCCATGATTTCACCAGTTCATGTGAAGCTAAGTTGAAACAGCAGCGGTGGGCCACCTGGTTTTGTGTGGAGTGCGCTCTACTCGTTCCCCTGAAAGTCTGACAAGACTTCCGCAAAATCTCCTATTGGTGGCAATCTTGAACATAAGATATCGTGGATCTGCGGGATCCAAACCAGTTTGCCTTCATGAGGATTGGGAACTCACCCGTCTGCTAACCCAAGGTCGCGGGCCGTAAGCAGACGGATTCCAAGCCTATCACATCTATTTCAGCCTGACTGAGTTGCAACTTCTCCCTAAATAAAACCCAAAGGCAGTTCCTACATGACCTCCAGCGGTTGTGTGCCTCTACCTCTTCTTAATGTTGTTTTACGTGCAACACCATTCTCAAGAATCCTTCCACATATTCTTCCTCCATGGACAAACTTCCACCACCAACCAAGGCTCCGCCGTTTCCCATCGTGACCGCTGATCAGAAAGCCGTTCTAGGCGTAGCAATCGCGTTTAGTATCACTCCGGTATTGGCTGTCTCGCTACGGCTTCTCGCTCGGCGCATCGCTTACAGAGTTTTAGATGCAAGTGACTACTGTATCATTGCTGCATGTGTGAGTTTTGTGACAACTTCTGTTTATCAGTAACCGTGTCTTGCTAATACAAGGGTAGATATTCTCAGTGACATTAGAATCAGTCAGTATAACGGGTAAGTGGTATGCTAATGATCTGAGTCCTCATACCGTATTTCAAAACATGTCTCAACACCGGAGGAAATCTTCTAACGAGTCCGAGGGTAGGTGTTATTCAATGTGGCATTGGCTATGGACATACGACGAAAGTCCTCATGGAGTACGGAATGGAGCCCATTACCAAGCTTTTGAAGGTAGGGAGATCCCCTCTTTCCGATACCCTTGAAGAGCACGACGAACCCTGCAACACAAACTAAATGCTACATCCAGCTTCTCATCCCGCTTCAGTTTCTGTGGGCACTCAGCCTCAGCTTCTGTAAGGTGTCCATTCTCTTGCTCTACGCCAGAGTATTCGCGGTCCCTATCGTCATCTGGGTAGGTAGAGGTGCCATGGTATTCATCATCTCATGGGCAATTGCAACCATTGTTGCGGGATGCCTTATTTGCCGGCCTTTCGCCTTCAATTGGGACCAGACAATCCCTGGAGGCAAATGCAGCGACCAAGTCCTCTCCTTCACCATAACTGGTGTTTTCAACCTAGTCACCGATGTATTGGTCCTTCTCCTGCCATTGCCATACCTCTTCAAGCTACAGATGCAATTATACAAGAAACTCGTCTTGATGGGTGTCTTTAGCATTGGACTTTTGTATGTCTCTCTTCTCCCTTCCTGTGTCCTTCAGAGCGCAATCAAAATATTACATCCTGGTTTTATCTTCTGACTTACCATAAAAAAAAAGAACATGCGTCGTCAGTGCCATTCGCATCCACACTCTCTCCTCCATGGACTTCAAAGACATCACCTACTCCCTCCCATCCGCCAATATCTTTTCCGGCCTCGAACCAAGCGTAGCCATAACGCTCTCGTGCATTCCACTCCTACGGCCCTTGCTGCGGCATGGCAACTACTCAAACAACGGCACTCCGGTCTATCAATCCACCATTCCCTCAAAGAGCCCAGGCCTTGACGGCTGCGGATTCGAGCAGCTCAACGACAACAACTCACAGCATCAATTAAGACCAGTGGCCGGAAAACACTATGCGGCGGTTTGTGAACCGAATAAACAAGTGTCGAGCTCGCGTGGAAGCAGCGACGTGGAAGCCAGTGAGGCTATGGGCATTACTGTCCAGGAAGACTGGCAAGTTGCTACGAATTGACGATAGAATTGGGACATTGAGCTGGAGAACTCTTATGACTTTATTGTCGTCCGTGGATTCTTTTGGTGCGCATAGACCCCATTTCTTTTCCCTCCATGCTGTATTGAATGCAATATATTTATCTCCATCTCGTGGGATAGACTGGCGTTCTATGTTCTATTCTCTAATACATATGTATCTATGACTGTATTGTGATGCTTAAGTATCGACAACCAAAACTTGGTAGATTTCAATTAGAAATATCTTGTATCCCTCATATATCTACTTTTATGTGCTTACTACGAAGAAATGTCGAGTGGAATATTCAATCTCTGGCACCCTTTACAACGAATAATTGACAACTGTGATTGTCCTTCCCAATCCAAGATTGGCGGCATCAGAGCTCCCTTTTCTCATGCGATTTTAGATGGAAATGAGGGTCATCGATAGCTCATGTCTGCTAAATTACAGAGTTACAAGATCTAGTGACTTGCGCCCCCATAGACATGACTATGCATTGCCAAGTACCCCGCTCCACTCACCTCAGCCAATAGGATGTCCCTTCCTCTTAGGGCTAAGGTTTAAACCACAGTATCTTGGCGCCAAGAAATCTAATTCTGATGAGTCAGCAGAGCAACTTCCACGACTCCGAACTTTGCCTTAACTTTCAGATGCAAAAAATTGACGTTTGAATCCGCCCGGTCGAAAGGAATGGAATGAAGGCGTGATGCCTGCTGTTTGGTGTGGGGTTGGAGCCGATGATCTTTACACCAACAACTGGAATAATATGAGCGGACGAATCAAGACACCCGACCGATACTATGGACTCTAGCACTGATGCAGCCGGGTCCTAGCGATCTTCTTTCTCCCTCACAAGATATAGATAACCCAGCACGCAACAATAAATCGTCCAGACATTTATAGCAATGTAATGAGCAGCTGGAAACTCGATATCCGTCCATATCTCATCACAAGTCGCTTCTCAAACAACAGCTCCTTCTCTTCCATATTTGACTTCCCAAGAAGACTGATAAGACCAGGAGTGGTTATGGTGTGTAACTATCATATGCCACAGCCATATGCCACATGCATTGTTACCTCAACTGTCTGGTTTCGACACAGTCGACTCTCTCCTTGGGTAAAGTCAAATTTGACAATACACATTACGACCCACAGCTTGAATATCCATATAGATATCTAGGCTTTGTAAGATCTCTAAGCAATATGGCAAGGCCCTGTCACCCCTCAGCTGGAAAGCCGGGTGCTTGTTGACATGCAATTGCAAGTCGTCATGTCAATTCTAGCGTACTCTGGAGTCTTGACATAATGCACAACTTTCAGATCACATGTGTTTCATTCGTCTCAGCGGTAGAAATCCGCGGGCCGTTTGAAAATGAAAACGAAGAATTTCAAATGCTTCATAAATACAATGCATTAATATGGCACTCAAGCGGAACTACCTTGACGGGCTGGGGTATTCATCGAACCCACGTTACCTAACTGATCATGATATAATGTGATCTATCGGAAAATTAGAGCATCTACGAAGAGTCCACGAACTTCAACACAACAGGCAAACTCTTCTTTGGTAGATCTTACTGTCCCCATCGCCCTACTACCTGTTACCACTTGCCTTGCATCTATTTCCTCACAGAAACAGAAAGTTGTAGGAACAAGACACTATTTAATGAAAAAGAATTGAGAAAATTGAATAAAGTGGAAAGACATGAAGAATCACAAAAAACTTTTTTTAAAAAAAAGTTTTACTCAGTTCCTGGGGAAAATTCTGTTTGTGGAACTGATTTAGTTTAAAAATCTTGACATGTTCGGGTCAGAACCTTGGTTCTATTATTGGAGCATAGCGATTCTGGATTTTCCACTCCTCAAAGTTGGTCGACCAACCATATCCCTGCGTTTGGTTGATCCGGAATTTCGAATTAAAATTCTTTGGAAATTCGACTTGTTCCTTGGCGACTTTCTATTAAAAGGGTAATTTCCTTCTTTCTTCAACGTCTGTTTATTAGATATTCTTTATCCGATCATTTTATCCGCAGAAAGAGTGAAGCTTGTCGTTCCACGAAGAGCTCCGTATCAATTACACGAATCATTCAAAGAGATCATCATTGATGGTTCAGCAAGTCAAGCAAGGTTATAATATCCTTTCCCACTCCAATTTCCTCTATCGTCGAGCAGTGAAGTCCTTCAACAAGACCTCCATCTCCCATCTTGGGACCTGTTCAACACGAGTATCAAAGAAGCATAGATAAAGAAAGAAAAAGAATAGACTGAAAATATGGCAACAACAACTTATATTCCTGCCGCTGATGTCAACAGCTATGACTATGTTATTGTCGGTGGAGGAACAGCAGGGTGTGTAATCGCCAGCAGGCTGGCTGAATATCTGCCACGGATGAAGATTCTCCTAATCGAGGCTGGCCCCAGCGATTTCAAAGATGACAGAATACTCTTGCTCAAGGATTGGCTCAAATTGCTGGGAGGACAGTTTGATTATGATTATCCAACGACTGAGCAGCCGATGGGTACGTTTTTTCTCCCTCTTTTGCTGTTGCTAACGGTTCTGCAACTCAGCCAACTGTGATGACCTGAATGGTGCATCAAATCGACAGCACCATCTACGACTTTCTCATGGTGCTTACTTTTCGTCTTTTCATTTTCTTGGTTGTAGGAAATAGCTATATTCGGCATTCACGGGCCAAGGTGCTTGGTGGCTGCTCCAGTCATAATACCCTGATTTCCTTCCGCCCCTTTGAATATGATTGCAAGCTGTGGGAGAGCATGGGTTGTAAGGGCTGGGACTTCGAAACCTTTACCCGCATTTTGGATAACCTTCGCACGACTATCCAACCTGTACACGCTCGGCACCGGAACCAGCTATGCAAGGATTGGGTGAAAGCTTGCTCCACTGCTCTGCATGTTCCTATCATTGAAGACTTTAATAAGGAAATCCGCTCCAATGGAAAACTGACAGAGGGCGTAGGCTTCTTCTCCGTTGCCTACAATCCTGATGATGGGCGCAGGAGCAGTGCAAGCGTTGCGTACATCCATCCTATGCTCCGTGGAGAGGAAAAACATCCAAACTTGACCATCTTGACGGATACTTGGGTCTCTCGGGTCAATGTTGCGGATGATACCGTTACAGGGGTCAACATTACCCTCCAATCTGGAGAGAAATTGACCGTCAATCCTAAAAGGGAGACCATCCTTTGTGCTGGATCAGTAGATACCCCTCGATTGCTTCTGTTATCTGGAATTGGCCCCCGGGAGCAACTGTCCTCTCTTTCAATCCCCGTGGTGAAGGACATCCCCGGTGTAGGCGAGAATCTTCTTGATCACCCAGAAACAATCATCATCTGGGAACTTAACCAACCCGTTCCCCCCAACCAAACCACCATGGACTCCGACGCAGGCATTTTCCTCCGCCGTGAACCTACCAACTCAGCTGGCTTTGACGGGGATGCCGCAGACGTCATGATGCACTGCTACCAAATTCCATTCTGCGTCAACACTGAGCGTCTCGGGTACGACGTCCCCATAGATGCCTTTTGCATGACACCCAATATCCCCCGCCCACGCTCCCGGGGTCGACTGTATCTCACCTCGTCCGATCCAAACGTGAAGCCCGCGCTTGATTTCCGCTACTTCACCGATCCAGAAGGTTACGACGCCGCGACCATCGTTGCTGGGTTCAAGGCGGCGCGTAAAGTCGCACAGCAATCCCCATTTAAAGAATGGATTAAGCGAGAGGTTGCACCCGGTCCCAACGTAACGACTGACGAGCAGCTGAGCGAGTACGGGAGGCGTGCTGCCCACACTGTTTACCATCCTGCTGGAACAACGAAGATGGGCGATGTTCAGAATGACCCGCTTGCCGTGGTTGATCCGCAGCTGAAGATTAGGGGGCTGAAGAAAGTCCGCATTGCGGATGCTGGCGTCTTTCCTACCATGGTTACCATCAACCCGATGTTGACGGTGCTGGCTATTGGTGAGCGGGCGGCGGAGCTTATTGCGGAGGAAGCGGGATGGAGGAGACACTCTCCTAAACTATGATGGTTCTTTTGAAGGGCTGTATACATAACCCTGACACTCACATTGCGTTTTTGGATTCCTTTTTTAACTTCCATATCTACAAACGAAATCATTTTCGAATGTTTCGCAGATTGCCTGGTTGACTGGTTATACTTACTCATCCCGTCTTATTAACCATATATATATATATATAGATATATATATATATATTATATTGCTGCGCATGTTGTCGTTGGCAGCAGAGCGGGATCGCAAAGAGTATTTGGGCCAATGCTGGATGGGAAGATTCTTGTTATGATACTTTGCGAACATCTCCAAGGTACACAGGCATAATAGAGAAATTATCTGGTGGCTTTCCTTTTTCCGTTTCCTTTCTCACGCCTATTTTCCCCATCTCAGTGGCAAAGCCGGAACAGCTGGCGAAAACGATTAAATGCGTCGGCACCAAGCCCTGACTGTTATAAAAATGCATCTAGTTGCAAGGTCGGGCCCTCCACCACGTGACCCTCTTCCACTGTTATACAGTCGTTTTCTCGTAGTTAGCAACCTTTGCAATGAACCAAACCTGCCATTCGGTCAGGTTTTTTCCATGTCATTCTAGAGATTGTGAGTTTCTTGGACTTGAAAGTATGTGGTCTGCTAGCTCGACTTCCAGAGCTGTTTTATGACCACGGCCTCGTTCCTGTCATTAAATGTGGGGAGCATTATATATGAAACGCAAGTATGCCGTTCAACTATCCTGATGGTGTATATTTTTCTCTGCCTTGCCGTATGAAAATCCACCTGTGAAACCTCGACCCATCTGCTAGTTCGATGTCGATATAACGTTCGGTCATATCCTCCCATGATCCAAAAATAAAGAAAAGAAAAGAAATAAATAAATAAACCGTTGAATTTCTTTGCTTAACCCGGCATGAAACCTGTCAAAAAACTGGAGTCAGCCCCACACCAAGGTTTGTTTCGCATCGACTAATCAGCAAGCCTGTTGACACGAATGCAGGTACCTCATGCACGGTTAGTTCGATTAGCAATGCGGGCCGGTAGGGGTTCTTATGGGTTTATTGGTTTCTACCATAGTCCCTGAAACATGTACATTTATATCGAACTCGAACTCTTCAAACTCCGCTATGTGCAGTCAAAGTGCGGCGGCCCCTGATGAACGTTACACATCAGATGGTCCATGTTTACCTGAGCGATGTATACTTGTTCTTATTCAAACCCAGTCAGAACATCGAAATAACGATCCTATAGTTACTGTTCACTGGTCGCGGTACATTGGCTGAGATCATGCTGAAAGCTTCAGAATTGGGGAACTGGGCCGTTTCCTAGAGCTTCTTGACCATGTGGCACCCAACACCAACACGAAACCCTTTTTCTGCAGAACGAGAAAGCTCCCAGGGCAATGCTCTGCTGTCTATCCACGGCATCATTGTTAACTTTGCTCTCAAAATCAAGCCTCCGTTCCGGGAGGGGAATTACTACATAACCCTCTTTGACACTTTCATTCTTCCTCCCTCTCTCTGCTTTCTCCTTCGGGACTAAAAGCAATACAAAGCATCCTGTCATTAATCCAATAAAACACACAAGTCCCCACTCTCATTCATTCCCCAACCCCTCCTCTCCTCCCCAGATACACCACACCAACTACTTATCCACTCCTTAACAAAACATCCTAGAGCTACTCGCCCTCCTCCCTCACAACGACCAATCCCATTACACCTCCCGCAAGCATGAAGCTCCAATTCCCCATCTCCGCCTTTGCCTTTATCAGCAGTATTGTCAACGTCGTCGCCCTGCCCCCATCCCATCAGCCCCGCGACATACCTAACCCGCTCGCCATCCGCGATGGCAGGCCCAGCAGCGCAAACTGCAATTCTGTCCCACAATGCTGCGAGGCCACCTACTCCAGCGAGGACAGGCTGGTCATCCAGGGACTGAAGATGTTCGAGTTAGATCCGGAGGGCGGCGGGAAGAGTGGGTTCTCCGTTGCCACTCTGTGTAAGTTTCGATGCCACTTCTTTACTGAATATAGGATGATTGCGCTGACCGGAGAGATGTTTAAAATGGAAATAAAGCGGGCAAACCGATGAATGGAGGATTAAACCTTGATCTGATTAATGGATGCAACTCTAATGCCGTATGTATGCTGCGCTGATAGCAAAATGGTAAGTTTCTCATTTACTTGCACATGACATGTAGATATCCCCCGTTTGCATTTTGCGCATATACTTTCGGTACCGTCCGTATAACTTAACTCTGTCTCAACAGAACGGCCTTGTATCCCTCGGCTGCATCCCCATCGCACTCAATATATGAAATCAACTTCCATTCTGCATTCGAAAGGGACACCGCGTTTGACTTGGTCATTGACTAGGCGGGGATGCTTTTTCGAAGATGGGAGAGGGTCAAAAGAAAGGAGTGAGAGATTTATTGTTTTGATTTTTGATTTTTGATTTTTTTTTATCTTTATTTTCGTCGTTTTCCAGTTCTATTTTGGATTGAGCACGTACATCGTATGGTCAACTCTCGATGCTCTGGCATTCACCGACGCAGAGTTTTTTTATCTAAGTTTACATTTATCGGGTGAGATGACATGGATGACATCATTGCGTAATGCAGACACACAACATTCTTATTTTGTTAGAACTAACGTTAGCTTCGCTTTATTGTATTATTTGAATTGGCAATGTGCATCGTGAAAACTTTTCTTTTTTAATGCTGGTGATAAAAGAGGAGGAAGCTATGTATAGTACAGTAATCGTGCCCCGCGCACCCACACCTGATGTGGGTGTGCCACAGCGTAATGATAAAAACAGTGTAATGATAAAAATATGGATAATTAGAACTTCAAAAATTAATATCTCATCACCACGCTGCTAATCTATGATAATTAATTTATCTATATCATCCATAGTAGCTGTATTATTCGTGAGATGTTCATATATATCATTAACCTCTTGTTGAGTTGGATCTGTGGCATTTTTCTTCAAAGCTCTCTCAACATATTTAACTCTCTTATAATGTTCTTTTTCTGCTTCCTCCTCTTTACATTGTGTGATCTTTCTATTTGCATCTCTGACAGTGAGTATACCTCCTACTTGAACCTGCTGACATGTATTTTTAGTGCTGCAGTGTTTGATTACAAGGTAGTAACTTTCAATCTCACTCTCTACTATAGTATTGAGTTCTATCTAAACAAGACTGCCTTGGAAAATCTTGTTCAATTGATTGCTCAGATGAGGTGATTTGAAATCAAGTGTATTCTTCATATCTTGCATTGCTTTCTTTGTTACTTGAATATGATATTGTAGCTTCTCAATTATCTTAAATGAGAATAATTGTGATGAAGCAGTATCTGAACAGCTTGATTACAGTGAAAAGAAGTTTTTTTTATATATTTGCAATTCAGAGTAGTTAGAGATTTTTGAATCTAGCTTAAGCAATATAGATTGTAAGTTGAATGAAATAATATCACAATCTATGAAGTCAGCTTAAATAGTAGAAGATTAAAAAGTCTTTTTGCAGACATTAACTAAATTCTATAGAAATTGATGTTTTTCATACTGCTCATATTCATATCACATAGCTTGATTAACTGTCTTTGAATGATAATGCTTATATTGCTAAAAAGGCACATTGTCTAGAGATTGCAGTATATGAGTTGAATGTGAAGAAAATTCATATAGAATAATTTTGTAGAGATTGCAGTATTGTAGAAATTCTTCAATAAGATGAGATTTATGATTGTCAAGAAGTAGTAATTGATGACTGTCTTGCTGATGTTTTTTAGAGATCTTATTAAAGTGCTAAATTCATACAAAGTCAATTTCATCATTAATATAGCCAGTATCTGATGTTGCAATTGTATATCTGCCTGGTAGATTGCTTTGTGTATATCAATCTTCAAGTTGAGTTTTGAATTTCATAATGAAGAGATTCAATATCTCATCATCTGCTGAAATACACTCAATCACAGTGATCAATTCTCAAGAATATGACAAAGTTATAACTAAATTGAAGTTTTTAAAAGCAGTAATAACTCATTCTCCATATTCTTGATCCTCTTGAAAGTCAATTTTATTGAAGTTGTAGATATCACAGATTTGAAACACATACTTTTGAAGTAAGATTTTCAAATAGTTAAATCACATCTTGATGTAGCTAATATTCTCAACAGCAATTCTTTTCAAATTCATTGTCTTCTGCTTAACTCTTTTATACTCATCCAAGCTTTGTATATATCAATAGGTCCACATCTTGCTGATCATGAGTAGGGAGGTTAAAGAATCAGTATGATGGCATTTGAGGATGAGATTCACATTATCTTGAATCTGCTCTGTGGTTGGTAAGCAATTATTTCTGTCCATATGAGCTATTCACTCTTTTAATGTGTCCTCCTGGCTCTTGCTAAGCTTCTTGTTCAGTGCAGTCTTTGCATTGCATGTTTTTCTTCCATTGATTCTTGCTCAAAGATATTGATATGAAATGTTGAATTTGCACATCAGAGGTAGGATTTTCTGTTTTCAATTGTCATTATAGACTTCAATAACACTCTGAATACATTTTTCAAGATCATCTATCTTATTGGTCATGGTGGTGGTGATATATTAATATTTGAAGATTGATTAATGAAGAAGTTGATATTTTTATCATTACACTGTTTTTATCATTACGCTGTGGCGCACCCACACAAGGTGTAGGTGCGCGGAGGCACGATTAGTACTACATGGGAGGGTAGCAGTGAGAAAAAAGGGGCGAACCAGACAAAAATTGACACAACACCAAACAGAGCTGAAACCAAACCAGAATAACCTGTAACAAATATAACTCCTTTTATTATGCAGAATGAAATGAGGAAACAAGGCAATGCCTGGTATCCGAAGTATCTCTATACATAGTATTCAATCTGTTATATCCATAGTCATGCAGTATAATAACAAATGCAAGTCACAAGTGATGAATGCATGAAGAAAGCAGGCAAGCAAGGAGATGTAAAGGCTGTCAATGTCAGTTGCAAGAAGGGAATATCATCTTCGCTTTTAGGAAAAGAGGAAAAAAAAAAAAAAAAAAAAAAAAAAAAAGGTAAAGAAAAGAAAAAAGAAAAAAAAGGCAATCGAGCATGCACACTACCGCACCCAGCTACATCCAATCCCTCCCATCCTTCTCCCGATCGAAAACCCTCACCCCAAACTTCCAAACCTGATCAACGGTCAGCGTCCCCTCCTCGTCCTCCCCCAGAACAACCATGTCCGCATCGGCCCCAGGAACCAAGACCCCCTTCGTCCCAACAAGCCCTAGCATCCTCGCCGGCGTCTCCGTCACGGCTCTAACGGCCTCCACAACCCCAGTCCCCGCCCACCTCCTGAAGTTATTCACACACTCAATCAACGTCGCAGACGACCCGGCAATCTTCCCCACCTCCCCATTCCCATTCGCATTCCCATTCACGGAGCTCTCCAGCGTCAGCAACGGGCCCCTCTTCACAATCCTCTCCCCGTTCGTCCACTCGTACACCCCATCCGGCATCCCACACAGCTTCATCGCGTCTGTGACAAGCACCATCCCCCTCGGATGCGCATTGTATGCAATCTGGATGCTGGTCGGATGCAAATGGATGCCGTCGGCAATCAGGCCGTAGAAGGGCCGCTTGGTATGCGGGGACTGATGGCCCAGAAGCCCGAAGATGCCCGGATGGCGGTGGTAGAAGGGCCGCATGGCGTTGAAGAGATGGGTTATCATCGTCGCGCCGTTGGCGAGGGCGTCGAGGGCTTGTTCGTAGGTTGCGTCTGAGTGGCCGATGGAGAAGACTATGTTCTCCGCGATGAGGGAGGGGATGAGGGAGTTCATCAGGCCGACTTCGGGGGCGGCGGTGATCATTTTTATATTTGGCGTTGTGCGGGCCGCGGCGGAGGCGGAGGCGGAGTTGGAGGCTGAAGTGGCTGTGGGGGTTGCGGCGGGATCCGTATCGGAGCTGCTGGTGGTTGGCGGGAGGAGGTTCTCGGCACCGTAGCAATCTATCAGGTCCTGGAAACCTGAGTTGGCGGCTATAAGAACGCTGGGGCTGTGGATGCCGTTTTTGCCGGGGCTGAGGAAGGGCCCTTCGACGTGGGCGCCAAGAGATTCCGCCCCGTCTACGGGACGGCGGGATCCACCGGAAGGGCCGAGGGACCGGAGGACCTAGGAACGTTTAGATATCAATTGCTTGGGGCGGGGGGAAATCTGTCTATATGGGATACATACCTCCTTATACACCCAGCTCTGCTGGCTCGTGACCGTAGGCAAATACGACGTCACGCCCATCTTGACCAGCGCCTGGTTCACCTTCAGCAGACCCGCATCATACTCTTCCTTCGTAGCTTGCGGCACGGAGAAGTCGAAACCCCTAGCCCCGTTGAGTTGCACATCGATGAAGCCGGGGGTCAGGATGCGGCCGCCCAGATCGATGATTTGGTCTGGACACAGCTGGTATTCGTAGAAGGCCTGTTGGTCCTGGAGGATCTTGCCGGAGGAGGAGTCGACCCAGAGATCTTGCTCGATGAGCTGGTCGTTGTGGGGGATACGGCAGTTGGTGAATTTTGTGATGCGCGGGATGGGGGTTGGCTGGGTTATGGAGGGCATGATGGGTGGCGTATTGTGTAAATGTATATGGAATTGGGGTTGGGGGCGGGATATGGGGGATGTTGAATGACGAGGATGAGGATGAGGGACGATGAAGGAGGCAATAGATGATAAGAAGATAAGAGGACGTATATAACAATGAAATTGGTTTGGGAAGAAGCTTTGTCCGTAGAGTGATCCTCGGGAGTTTATCGTACTGTGTATATCACTCAAACGCCACAGGTCCAGCGAGGATCTCTCTGTAGCAGCAGAAGAGGATAAGGTAGAATAGATGATGCTGTAACAGAAGTTTATATTCGTCAAGCCCATAGATGGGACAGCATACAGACACAGGGGAGAGATAAGCGGCGGCAAAAGAAGAAAAAAAAGAAAAAAAAAAAAAAAAAAAAAAAGGCAGCTAGACGGCGGAGATACTGAAGCCGGGACTGTCTCTCTCTCTCTCTCTCTGTCTGTCTGTCTGTCTGTCTGCAGAAGCACTGGTGAAGAATAAATCGGGCTGTCCAGATATGATGTAATGTAGCATAATTTGACGGCATCCAGGAGAGCAGGTTTTTTCAACTACCAGTCAGCTTCATACTCTTATTTTCATTTTATTTATTAATCTATTCTTATTATTTTATTTTATTTTGTGATGGTGCAGTAGCTAGCATTTGACGGCATGGATGTCGTAGCATTCCTCAACAACGCGTGGGTCGGAGAGAGCTCCCAATTGACCCCATTCAACCAAGCAGGGCCCCGACAAGCACAGGGCGCCGGGCCACAGGCGGAGTGGGATCATGCTGTTCCCTGGATAAGCAGCAGCTCGATGGAAGTGTGAAAAGATGCACAACAGGTGAATGTGAATGGTATTAATACGTTTCTTCCTTTTTGCTTCTTCTCTTCTTCTTCTTCTTCTTCTTCTTCTTCTTCTTCTTCTTCTTCTTCTTCTTCTTCTTCTCCCATTGCCCAGGGAGTCACTGGATCGCCGACCAAGGTTGATGTCATCATTGAAAATTACTGCATGGAGATAAATACTGGAAAACACACCGGAAAAGCTTCGTGGAAATACATGTCGGTTACAAGCCACAGTAAGTTATGTATGGTACGGCAGAGACGCTCGTTCCCGTAATACATACACATCATACAACACCCCCCCCCCCCCACCCGATACGAAATACACAGGCGGCGCCGTGGTATCGCGGCGGGAACTTACCGGGACCCACAGAACTACAGAACTACAGAACTAAACTGTGCAGTCCCGGCATTTGAAAGACGAGACGAAACGAAGAAGTTATGGCCGCATGTGGATGCGGGGAGGAAAGTTGTTCTACGCTCGTTCTTGCAGGGCTGGATCCAAATCCTTGAAGCCGGCAGGGAGGAGAGGTTGACATGTAACATCTACAGTATCCTTATGGCCAGGACGAATATGTGGGTGTAGGTGTATTGGAGGGGGGTATTGGTTGGAGGGAAGGGGAGGGAAGGGGAGGAGACATGCCGATTCGTTGATTTGACAACACTGGAGTCAGATGTCTCCAAGGGCCCCCGTGCCTGAGCTGAGACTTACGGCGTACTGTTAGTTTGTTAGGTTAACCAGGTTCATAGCTGAAAGAATCCCAGTAAATAATAAATCGAATAGCCAATGGCAGTTGAGTTAATATAATAATATTAACCGGAAAGAAGGGGGGAGGGGGGGGAGCAATCAGGCATGGATGTGCGCATAGTTAAACCTGTTCGACGCGATCCGAAGTCAACGAACCTTGTTGATTGGTTGTGCGGGAGCAAATGTGTGCAGGTGATATGACCAGAAACAAGGCAAGACAAGGGCTTGAGTAGAAGAAGAAGATTGTCGCTCCCGCGCTTCGTTCTTGTGGGGGAGAACCAAAATCCCACCGTCGCTGAACCATGGTATGTAACCTCAAACACTAAGCAAACTAAGCAAGTAAGCAGTGCAACGCTGTGGCGAATGGTGGCGCAACCAGCCAGGCAGGAAGTAATATAAGATTGACCAAACACAACTGCCGGGCCCGTCCTATGTGGCGTAAAACTAAGGAATTAAGAAACAAAGGGCTAGGAAAATCATAATGGTTTCTTTTTCTTCATTCTGTCGTAGTTCCATTTGAACAACAGGCTTGGAGCGGTCCAATGGGGCAATTTGCTTCGATCGAGAGAGCCAAGAAGGGAAATAGTCAAAAATGGGAGGATGATTTGTGAGTATATATTAAAACGTGGGAACATGTGGGGGTGGGGGGAGGGATGGCTGGTTATTGTGTGGGGAACTTATTTTATGTCGGTTAATCCGGGGTTCTGGGGAAGAATGTGAAAGAGAGTTTTCATGGGGATGTGATTGGACGGCCGGGGGTCAAGGAAAGGGTTATCGATGCTGTAGGGCAGCTGAAACGGACGTTGCCAGTTGCCCGGAGTCTTGCACATTCCATAAACCGTAGAAGATGATGATGCTTGAGAGAAAGAGAGAATAAACGTGTCGTCGTGTTTCCACAGACGGATCATTTATATCTCTTTTTATTGTATATGTATGAATGTAGTAGATATGGACGGAGAGACGAATGCGCTTGTGTTAAGGCATTTTTAGTCCCTTGGGGTACACTGGTAGCCAATGAGATCCCGACTGGTTTACCCGCCCCCCCCCTGAATTACAAGCTGACAGATTGCAGAGAGAGCTTGGTCGAAGAACTCTCAGATTAGTTAACCCACTTTTAGCGAGGGGAAAAAAAAAGTGAGAGACACAAGGGCTTTGTCACGGTACAAATCAAGACTCTGGAAGTTACTTCTGTTCATTCTGTCGCCCTCCGTCTCTACCGCGGTCCGTTTTCTCTCGTCCAGACGCAAACTGGTTGGCGTAAGCTATACGAAATGAAAATGATCATTCCACCCGCCCACCCCCACCGGTGAGTTTGATTCATAGATGGGATGTACAGTAGTTAGGTACAGCGTTTTCCGGTAGGAATCAGTGATGTCAGGTACGTCGACTCCCAATAGCTCGTTTACATGATCTGTTACGGTCTCCCTCCTCGCTTCGAATCCTTTCGACTGCAACTCTCCTCTTTTCAACTCTCATCTGCTACCCAATGTACCTGTACATACTTCTCTAATGCTGTCGCGTGTTAAATTGATCTTAGCACCAAATCTCATCCCTCATCGGCAGCTATCCCGCACTCGTTTTACCCCATACTACGCTGCTAACCCTACTACTGTCTCATCCGCCAGCCAACGCCATTGACAACGCCAACCCGCCATCTGCCAGGTGAATCAGCGATCCACTCTCATTGACTACGACCTTTTCTCTCCGCCTGGTCTCATCTTAGCTGGTTTCTGGCTCGTCTTGGCTAGTCACGTATACCCACTTATTCTCACGCGCGCAACGAACTGATCTCACCAACCACTATTAACTACTACCACCACCACCACCACTGCGACAACGCCTTTCTATTGTCTTATTTTTTTTTTTTTTTTTTTTTTTTTTTTGCATTTCACATTTCGACGCCTTTTCGCTCTTCTCTTCTTCGAATTCCTACGTCTACTTCGTTTGTAACCTACAGTAGCAGTGGCCACGACAAAAGCAAGCTGCTAGCGGCTAATGGCAAAGCAGACGACTCTAATATCCAGATAAGAGTCAAGCCCAGTTGAAACCATCTCCCTCACTCATCCATCATCCTCTGGTCCGCTCGCCAGCCTCTAGCTACTTCATCTTCTCTTCTTGCTCCTCTTTCCCCTCTTCCTCCTCCTCTTCTTCTTCTTATTAATTCCCACCCCCCCTTGCTAAAGCAGCTCTCGAAACCCTGCTTTTTAAATTTTTTTTTTTATTAAATTGATATTAAACCACGGCATCTCCCTGTCCCCGTGTGTTGTCTTCTCTAGTTGTGAGCTGGACTTTTTTCTTTTCTTTTTCATTTCTTTATTTAATTCCCCGGATTCCTAGCTGCAGCGGCGAAAGCTTACTGGTGTGTGGAGAAATCATCCCGCGTCGTCCAGGGTACTTATTTATTACCCTCCTGTCTTCTCCCACATTATATCATTGTGCCGGTGGATCTGTCAACAGTTTCAACTGCTTAACTGTACAACGGTTCAGTTCCGTCGAGCGTGTGTTGATCGATCTCCTGCTTTGATCGGGTAGGTAACTGTTTTCCTTCGAGCTACTAACTACTATTGCTCTCGTGGCTGTGGCTGTCTCTTCGGTGCTGTTTGACTCCTACACCTCGACGCATCTTTTCAACCATCCGCATTTCACATCAACCAATATCTTTTACATCCACCAAGATCAGCATACGGTGCATTGCTTTGGTTGACCTTGAATTAACCGTTTGAGGTTACCGCGCTTTGTTGCGCAGCTGATATTCCACCTTTTCAACACCAGTACTTTTCCACTCTGCCAATATCTGGATACTCCATTACAGATCTCCCCACTTTGTATGCAAGTCATTCGCATCACTTACACTAGATTCACTCTGGACCTGAAAACCATAAAGAGAACACAAAAGGTCTATATCTTACGCCGTGTTTTCTTTTCTTTTCTTTTTATTTATTACCGCAGTTGATATGTTTTGTTTATTATTTGTGTTCCTATCCGTCATACCTCTCAACGGAGTCCGGCGCTCCCCACCCCTCACTTCCACACCATAATTCTACTTATCCTCCTGCCCTCCTGCACTCTACTTGAACAAAGATATCTATTCGTTTCTTTCTCCATAACTGGATAAACTAACACTCCCAGGACTAAATAGGCACCAGTCATCCTGGCATCAGTCGTAGCCCTACAGCGCTGACTACTCCCTCACCATGTCGCTTCACGGGGAAAAGTCCGCAGACCCCCATGTGGAAAAAACAATCGATGAAGAAGCCACCAATCAGGTCAACGCCAACCCAGTTGGGCGAGCGTGGATGTACAAGAGCATAAAGCTTGGCCCCCTGACTCTGCCCTACTATGCTTCTCCCGCTACCCAGCTTCTCCTGGTCTCCTTCGTCTGCTTCTTGTGTCCTGGTATGTTCAACGCGCTTAACGGCTTGGGTGGAGGTGGCCAGCAGGATGCCCACGCTGCCAACCAGGGAAACACAGCTGTCTACAGTACCTTTGCCGTTGTCGGTTTCTTCGCCGGTTCCATCGCTAATCGTATTGGTCTGCGCTTTACCCTCTTCTTTGGTGGGTTTGGTTACTTCCTCTACGTTGGCTCCATGTTGTCGTATAACCATAACCGTAATCTGGGCTTCTTGACTTTTGGCGGTGCCTTGTTGGGTGCCTGTGCTGGTTGTCTGTGGTGTGCTCAGGGAGCGGTTATGATGAGTTACCCCGAAGAGAAGTCGAAGGGTAAATACATCTCGTGGTTCTGGATCATCTTCAATCTGGGCGGTGTCATTGGCAGTTTGGTAAGTTGCAATCTGCAATCTAAACAGGGGAGAAAGTTTTTTATTTTTTTATTTTTTACTTTTATTATTATTATTATTATTATTATTATAACGTAAGTTTAGTTCAAACCTACTAACCCCCTACCAGGTCCCCCTTTTCCAAAACCTAAACAACATCTCAGGGAAAGCCGTCGGCGATCCAACCTACATCGCCTTTATGGTCCTCATGTTCACAGGCTTCGTCCTCTGCATTGGTCTCGTGGAAGCCAAATACATCCGCCGCTCAGACGGCTCCCAAGTCATTGTCATGAAGAACCCATCCTGGCTTTCCGAATTCAAGGGTCTCTGGCAAGTGCTCCGAACAGACTACTACATTGTCTTGCTGTTCCCCATGTTCATTGCCTCCAACTGGTTCTACACATATCACTTCAACAACGTCAACAGCGCCAAGTTCAACATCCGCACCCGCGCGCTGAACAGCTGCCTCTACTATCTCGCCCAGATGGCCGGTGCCGGTGCATTTGGCTACATGCTCGATATGAGGTCGCTGCGCCGCACTACGCGTGCTCGCCTTGGTCTTGGTCTTCTCTTCTTCATCACTATGGCTATCTGGGGTGGTGGATATGCCTGGCAACGCGGCTATACCCGAGAGCAAACTGCACCCAAGGACTCGCCACGTATCGACTGGAAAAATAAGGAATATGTTGGTGGCATGTTCATGTATATCTTCTATGGCTTTTACGATGCCGCCTATCAGACCTGTGTGTACTGGTAATAGCCCCCCACCCCCTTTCATTTTCATTTTCATTTTCATTTTTTTTTTGGATTTTCTTACTTCAGTTTTGGAAAGACGTATATCTAACACTACAAAATCCAGGTTCATGGGCGCCCTCACCAACAACAGCCGTAAACTAGCCAACTTTGCTGGCTTTTACAAGGGTCTCCAATCCGCCGGTGGTGCCGTTACCTGGCAGTAAGTTTTCTTCCTCCCCCGCACCCCACCTACTAATATAAATACTAACCCAACCAACCAGAATCGACGACAAGAAGGTCTCCTTCATGGCCAGCTTCGCCATCAACTGGGGCCTACTCTGCGGCTCCATCATCATCGCACTCCCCGTCATCCTGTTCAAGATCAAAGACACCGTCAATCTGGCGGAGGATATCAAGTTCTCCGACGAGACGATCGAGGACGTTGCGCCAACGTCTATGTTGGAGGATCATGGGCTGTCGGGTGCTCGTGCCACTGGGGTTGTGAAGGAGGTGTGATTCGAGTTCGCTTAATCGTTTTGTTGAGCGGTTGAGAGATTTCGTAGTGATTACTATGGTGAGGTGATGGGAGGTGGATGGACGTTGGTTTATAGCCGACATCTTTTTTGCGATGGTGGTGAGAAGTACGAGGAATGGGAGCTATAACATTGAAGGCAGTAGGGGTAGTGGCCTGCCTTCTTTTGCGGCGATTTGAGTGCTGTGGTTGAAACTCGTTTTATATACTCCTCCTGTTTAACAGTGTCGATTGACTTGCTTCAATAATTTTTTTTCTTGTGTCTATTAATGAGTCTTCACTCTTCTTTTTCTTCCTTTTCTTCAACCCCTTTTTTTAAAAAATTTAATTTGGCGGCTCCTGTAATAGGTGTCCCTCTTTTGAGACACTTCTCTTTTTTTCCCTTTTATTTATTTATTTATTTATTTTTTGTTTTTCATGATGTTACCCCGAGGTTTTCTTAATGGTTTCCCCCCCCCCCCCTTTATATGATACGATCTACTGGCCTTGTTTATATTTCTGAATGGATTCGTTGTGGTTCATAACTTTATTTCCCTTCCGTTTTACGTGGGTATGAGAGTTGATAGCGACTGGATAAGAAGCGAGAGAGAGGATGTAGTGGTCGAGGAAGGAGAGAAAAGCGCAGGCCCGGCATTTTACACACCAAAGTATTGGGCTTAGAAGATGATGAGAGATAGAAACAAGGGGAATAGTATATAGTTTTACTGCTGTGGGTTTCCTGGTTCGTTTGCGCTATTTTTTGCTCTCTTTTTAGTCTCAAATTACAATGTAAATTGGTTCCATGTGCTTCTGATTTGATTCCACCGCGGGCAGTGTTCAGTAACGTAACTGTCTATAGATTCCCATGGCTACAACGTTTGCAGGTTACGCCTCTGGGGGAACGAGTGGGACAGCGGGAGGGACTGGCCCCGTATTCCACGCTGCAATAGGCGCTTCCTCTTTCATATACTGGGTGGGTGGAAACATACGGGGGTGGAGCGGGGTGGAGCGGCGAAGGAGAAAAAGGATACCTAAGAATGCGCATCCACTTTCATGTCCGTGGGAGGATATATTTAACATTGATAAGGAGGAGTCATTGGTGTATTTTGGCGAATAATACGCTGAAGTTATTCCCATGAAAGTACTGGAAACCACACCCATCAGCGGCGACGAGGGATTCTCCAGTCTGTTTGGCAGATATTCCCAAAGGATAACCCATCAATGCCCTGCTAACAGCCCTTAACTAGATCATGGTAGAGGCCGATCAAAACCTCACTACCCATGGTCGGAAACAGCGCGCTGAATACTGACTTTAAGGAGAGCGTGGTGTACACTGGTGCTCAAGTTGTGGTATCACTGATATGCACGACTTTTTCGTATATTCGGTCCTACTTGTTCGGCAGCGGGTAGCTATCTCTACGCAGACTACCTCGTATTCTGAGTCTCACCGGAATTTCAACGCCATTTCCTTCTCACTGCCACTGCCAAATTGCGGTTGCCTGCCTCGAAAGGCTGACGAGGAGGAAGTAAGGTTTCCTGTGGAACAAGAAGTATGTGCGGATGAAATGCTGTTGGGTTCTGCAATTGCTCAGAGAGATGACACTGTGTAACTGGCTAGCAGAAGCCATTTGCGTTTGCGGCCCTCCTCTTCAGCAAATCGAAGGAAAAATTGCGGCTTGGATTCTAAAATCATGAAGAATCAACAACGCAAAGCAATATCGATTCATGTGTGTTATGGTAATATATCACCACTCGAAAAATTCCGTTCATTTCTTTGAGCCCGCGAAAGTTGCAAACGGTGCCGGATATATCGGGAGGCACACACGCATAGTCACTGCAGCTTCTCGAGAGGTAACTCGCTAGACGCAAGACTGTTCAATTAGTGAACGGCGTTGCAATGAATGGCACTGCTACCATTAGTTAACCCAATTGGCCGACTGAGAATTGGTCGATTATCCATTCAGAAGTTCGACCCGTTGTTGTTCAGCCAGGCTAGGACGTAACAGTCTATTACTGTGCCGTTGTCGATGTCCACCTTGCAATGGCCATCTTCGTTTAATCTTCAGAATGTTCTACGCCCGCAGCCAGCGTTGCTTTTTTTGCGCACGCGCCGAACGCCAGCGGAAAAATCAATCAGCCTTGGGAAATAACAAGGGCCCTGGCAAAAGTTAGCTGGAGGAATACGTGCATGTTGAGCCCGTTGGAGCAACATAAGGGACGTTGTCTTGCGGGTGGAATTCAAGATCGTATATTCTGTGGACGAATCGTGTTGATTGATTCAATGGAAGGGAACATGATGGAGCATCCCTCCCCTCATGGATCTCTCGGCTGATTTCATGGAAAATTTACGAGGTGCCAAAATAGGTTATTTTTAACCAACTCTAACAAGACTTTACGCACGGGAAGCTTGTTTTTCTCCCGGATTGGATTCTTGACGAAAAGGGAGCTGGAGAGAAACGGTATGGAGCTCAGAGGACTTGACCCTTTCCAGCGAGGACTGAGATTTAGGTGCTTATCAGCTCTATTAATTAGTTAGGGATAACCATTGGCTCCAGCGCTAGAGCTAACTATAACTGGTGTGATAGGTACTTCAGAGATCTAGAGCCTGCCGCCAGCGCCCCGACCTCACGCTTGGCTATGAGAGATTACTGTACCCATGTATACAAGGGGGATCTCGCGGAATCATATGATATTTAATCATACTTTGTCTAGATCAGCTCGTTCAACCAACAAGCCCAATACTTGTCACCATGGCAAGCGCCAATTCACCCATCCAGCCGGTTTTTAGACTTTAATCCTTCGTGAATGGCGCATAAAAGTTGAAACGACGATCCGGATCATATTTGTCCTTCAATTTCCGCAACCTCTCCAGCCGCCATGGTTCATATCCATACCAGCTCTGCGGGTCCTCTGCTCCAAAAGCGGAGTTGACGTACACCTTTACTACTTTCTCCTGCCCACTGCCTTCGAACCAAATCTGGCGCATGCGTTCGCCGTAAGCATGCGCCTCCGCATCCCGTTTGGCGCCAGCAGGTTCATATCCGGTGATCACGGAGACTAGCAGATTCGCATCCCGGTAAGGAAACGCTGTAGATTCAGATGGAATTGCCTGTACTCCTTGGACAGTGTAGCCTTGAAAGAGGGCTACGGACTTATTAAAGGCCGGATTCTCCCGGGTAACCCGTGAGAAGAGGTCAAAGGCTGCGCGTTGTGCTGTTGTATTATACTTTTGCAAATACAGTGAAAAAAAGGTATTGGCCAGCCCAATCTTTTGGCAGGCTGGTGAGTTGTTGGTGTTGCCAACCCATCTAGAGATGTCTTTATATGTCCCTTTTCCGCTTGTGGTCACGATGGGATCGATTCGGGAGAATGAGTCTGCATACTTGGCTTCAATGGCCTCCACCCCCTCCCGGAATATAAATAATAAAACGACAGCCTGTCAAAAGTCAATCACATGTTGTCGATATCCTGCGGGTGATATGCTGGAAGAGGGGGGTTTACATGGTCTGAGTCAACTTCCGGTTTGTTCAAGAAAAGTGAGAAGTGAATTAGATCTACCGGCTGAGTTCCATCTTTCAATAAATTATCGTTAATTGCTTGATAAACGCCCTCTACTTTGTCATGCGCAAAAATGAACGATTGATAGGACCACTGGCCTTCCTTTTGAATATCGTAGATTTTCGACGTGACCGATGTGACGATGCCGAAGTTGTGACCCGCCCCCTTCATGGCCCACCATAGATCCGATTTCTGATGAATTGTGGCCAAGCTGCCATCCGCAAGAACCATCTTGAGTGAGACAAACTGATCCGCAATGAGACCGTGTCGTCCTTGCAAGATCCCATGTCCACCACCTAGCCCTGGGCCCAGCATAGAAACACATTCACAGATTCCAGTCACTATCCACAGGTTGGTCAATTAACAAGACAGCAAGACGCACTCCATCTTCGGATTCCTTTAGTTCTACGAACCTGTCTGCTTTCCTTTAGCCCAGAGAGCATCAGTAACTTGCTTGGATCTAACTCCACCGCCAAAGGTAGCCGTGTCGCCATCATCTGCAATGGACACAGAGTTCAACCGAGTCAACCTGATCAATATACCACCCTGAACAGCCTTAAGACTAGATATTGAACCGTGACCCGTGCTGTACGTCAGAAAAGGGGCATTGTGTGCATTGGCGTATTTGACCTGGTGGAATTAGCATTGTGTCACCCCCACCGAGGGCCGATTTGATAGGGCCTCCCTTACAGTTTCCACCACATCATTCTCAGTTGCCACATCCACAACGACGGTGACACTGGGTGCATTCAGCGATGACCAGCGCGCGGTAGCCTGGGTGAAGTCATCCGAACCTGGAAAATAAAAATGTGCGTTGGTAGACAGCATCGGGCCCAGCTCTGATGCAATGGTGTTATGGCCCCCCCTGCATAGGCTGTCAATCCAGGCGAAACCACCACCACCCAGATGCGAACAGAACCTCCCCACCATTCCGGCTGCGATGAGCGCCAGGAACTCCATCAGCACGCAGTAAACGCAATCTTGGATGAACCTTGAGGCGAGGGAAAGAAAGAAAGAAAGGATGAAAGAAACAAGTGTTGAAGTGCAACAGTGACAACTAAACTTTCACGTCCATGTACCCTGCCTGACTATCGGAAGGAGGAGGTGGGCGGTCTTTTTCAGGTCAGGTTTTGGCCTCCTTGTTTTTTGCGGTGTTTATCGTATCAGATTCCTATAGCTAATGAAGATGATCGCCGCCACCCGGACATGGGTCACCACAGTCTCGTATAGCTACAGTTCAGCTTTTTGGGTCTCGAGACTCAGCTGTCATATTATCAGCTGAAATTAGTAGTCCAATCTATGTCACCAAAACAGCAGGCGTTTCCTATAGCTATATGAGACGCAAAAATCGGAGCCGGTGATGTCTTCCCCGAGAAGTTAACTACTGGCTTGCGGCGGTAAACCAAACCTGCGACGTGTTGCCAATAAAAGCAAAAAATTGTCAACTGCAGTTTGAGCCTCGCGCTCAAAAGGAACTTCGAACTCTAGATTGAAGGATTTCGCTCCGTGAAGAGAAGGAAATCGGTAACTTCTCTCCAAACCAATTGACGGCAGTGTTGGGGGGCTCATCTATTTATACCTTCTCAGGATGCTTGTATCCCAACAGCCAAGTGCTGTCAAATGTGAGTGACGCGGGTATGAATAAGGAAATGCTGCTTGCGTATAGGGAGAATTAAATCAGGTTCACAAAGTGAGCATCGCGACTTTTTCAGTATCCAGAAAGCCTTCGTATCCGCGATAGACTCAGGTGAAATTCTAACGGGCAGAGACTTCAACGATCGAATATCAAGCTGGTGTGGTTCAGCTCACATGAGAAATGTCAATTGACAATGGCTTCTATATTCCCAATCCTCTTTATTATCAGAAACCATGCTGCAGAAGTTAGTTGTTAATTCAACACGCAGCAAATATAGAGGCGGTACATTGACATGTTGACATTGACATATATAACATATCCCAGCGCAGAATAAGGATGTATGCCAAATCTTCATGACTAACTACCTCAAACCTTTCTCCCACTTCCCATCAGAAAGAGGAATATTTCCACCAGAGCTAAGTTAACTCGCCGTCCTTTCCCTGGGTTGACATGCAGATAACATCTTGAGGTTGCGGAGATGAGACATCCCCAGAGGATTCTTTTCTATCCTTTATGAATGGATGTAGAATTTAGCAACTATTATCACCAACTGGCCCTTAGGGGGACTAAGTGGTGACTCCAAAGTAAAAAAAGATAAGGGGAAGCATAGACCCCTTGCAGAATAGCCAGGAATCCAGGATTAACCAATTCAGCGCCACTGGGACTGAATGGAGCATAAACCAACTACGTCAATGGGACTTCTGGTCGAAACACATGCGACATAATGATATGAATACGATTGCCGATGCAACAGGGAAAGTATTGTGAACATTATTTTCGGGAGGGCGTGGAGCAACAAAGCAGAGGTTTAGAAAGTCTTCGGAAATTCGAAGAATTGTTATTGCTGGACAGAGGGTAGCTAGATAGCGTCCACCTTTATCTTTTGCTCGTGAACTTGAACGGTCACGAATTTTGTCTCAGTGCAATGTGAGAGACCGAAACATATGCATTAACATACTGTCCAATATGCTCTAGAGAGGTGTGAATCCGTGCATCAATCCTGGTCAAGACAGGAAAAGAGCAAGATATTCGGCTGAGAAGGCAGCATTGCCCATAGCCATCTACGGGGAAAACCCCTTAACATGTGAGATTAGGGACAATAATGCATTTAGGAATCTTTGGGATTTATGGTACCAGGCTTTTTTTAAAACAAGAAAATATTGAAGACAACGCCAAAATTTCTGGCCGCAGCCAATAGAATTAACGCCCCACTCTGGATTTGATATCCTTTGATCAGAAGGGGGGGGAAAGCGTATAGCTTAACCAGGGAAAGACACACGGGCAAATTGAGACCCTGACGTCTTTATCCACAGGGATGCTAAATGCGCTGCTGGACTGTGACGGTTAGGAATCAACTGTAGCTCCTAGGCTCGTAGCCTTCACATCAGCATTCTCTGGAAAATCAAACTTCGAATTGTCGCCAGACGGATTCATGTGATCTCCGCGATTGTCATCTGCGCTGAAAAGTTTCAAATCAAGATTAGAGCTAATCTGCACTTTATTATCCGTCCCAATGGTGCTGTTCACTGTGTTGAAGTCTTTCATCCAATCCATGGTATCTAGGTTGAATCTGTGATTGTTGTCGTTCGACATGCTAGTAATGGTAATGTCAATGCTTTCAGCTGCGTCTTCGTCAGCGAAAAGGTTAGCACCGGCGTCATCGAAATTGATCAGGGCATCGAGGTCGTTCTGATTGATATCTGCATCATGGGCAAGATGCATGAACTCTGTAAGACTTGCGTCAGAGTCGCCAGAGCCGGGAATTTGGATTTCGTCAGAAAATAGATCATGGTGGATGTTGTTCGTGTTTCCGTTTTCGCTACCAACGGATTGGGGAGGAGTCGAAATGTAGAGAAGATCCGGTCGCTCTGTCTGGTTAAACGGGACACCAGAGGCAATTGGAGAATATGTAAGATCAGGAAGTTTGTCGGGCAAGCTCTCTGGGGGCGGTGTCAGAGTGTTGGGACGTCTAGCTGAGAAATGAAGTGTGCTTGGTGATTCTGGCCGTTCTTGAGGGATCTGCAGAGAGATCTGAATTCCAGCTTTGCGAACGGCGGCTTCGAGGAAAGATGTTGCAAAGTCCGCAGAGGCATAAATTTCTCTCAGTCTTTGCAAGATCTGCATACACTGATAAAAGCGGTGCAAACTGGCGGTTCGAATATTCAAGTCACTGGATTTAATGTCAAGGAGGTGAATTATAACGGCTGGCAGAAGAGCGGTTACTCCAGTTGTCGGAAGGTAGCGGGTTAGGTCCATTGTATGCAAGTTCCGAGCAATATTAGTAATTTCAACGGCGGCATGGCGAACTTTCGAGCGCGACGAATCCTGGAGCCGAATTTCAACCGTGGGAAATGAGGAAGCAGGAAGCACCTGCGGACGGTGCAATGCACTGGATGTAGTGAGGTATATCATCTTCAATAATGCTCGATGGACATGAAGAACTTCTTCGCCTTTTGAAAACCTGGATGATGACGAATCTTGATACCTGGCTGTCTCTGGGAGATCAGCCAGCCAAGTTTCCAGCTCATGGTCGCATTTCTGGACTTCGCACTTGGCTGTCGAGGCCTTTTTCGGCACCAACATCATGGTAGTTTCTGTTGTTCCTCCAAACTTGTGTCCAAGAATTGAATACTGTGCACTGAGAACATGGCTGATGCAAAGACATAGTTTGGATTTTTCAACAAACATTGTGGCGAGTTGTCTTTGTTGATCTGTATTATGTGTCAACTCGCAATCACCCACAATTTGGAGCGCCTCGGGGGACAGTGGCTTGATATCAAAATCCTCCAATGTGAGCAGAGGGACATCGTAATCTTCATCCCTAATCCGCGTGGGTCGCCTCATTCCAAGGGCAATAAGCCTGTCACGAGTGTAGGTACTCCACCAAACTCGTTTCCAGAGTTTTTGCCGTTGCGGGTCCATAGATGAGGTAGATGGGTCCCGGTGGAGACCAATGGTATGCGCAAGTGACAAACTCACACCCATCCAATGCCAAGTATCTTTTTGATCATCAGGCATCTCATACCAGTGAGTCATCAACAAAAGAGATTGGACCAGGGATATTCGATCAACTTCGTAATCGAAATCATAGAGAACCTACGAGTTTCAGCACAAGTCAGTAAAAGTTGTGCATTCCCAAACAAGGTCAAGTTTTCGCCATACTCTAGCTCTTTGAAAGAACGCTTTCCGTGCGTCCTTTCTTGATTCATATCCTATAGCCATAAGATGCTTCATAGAAATGAACGCAGTTCCGGCAAACATAGTAGCCTGAAAAAGAAGGAGACTCATTCGACGAGATCCATCATCGCATGCCATAGTCCGTAGGAAATCGTCTAATTCTAGCAGAGGCATATATGGATGAACAAACTGCAAGTAACTTTTCATAAGCTCATTACGGAGCCCCTGAGGCGGAATTGTCAGCGCCCCTTTGGCTTCTAGGTACGCGATATCGTCTGACTGGAACTTGGCTGGCAAAGGGCTGATAAAATTGGGCAACCAGCCTTTCGGCCGCTGGGTAGGTGGCGTAGGTTTAGGAGAATGACGAGCTCCAAAATCGGCGTCAATCAACTGTTGCACTGCCGTAGTCATCTTGCACAGGGAGTGAGTTGTTGGAAACGTTGAAATATTTGACATTCTACGCCAACGGTCTTCGTGATTGATCCGATTGCCTTGAGTCTGATCTACAAGTTATCAGTAAAGCATAGGCTGGGTATCCACAAAGGTATGGAAGACGAACAGAGAAGGTGAGGAACATGGTGTCCATGCTCTAAATCCACTGATACTTGGGATGGCGACAATGGAGCTAGAGGATCAGCAATCACTGAGCTGATAGGATCGCCTTTACGGGAAAAAGGAAACCGGGAATCATCCAGTCCGTCTGTAGAACGTGTTGACGAGTGGTTTGAAACCTCCCCTTCAGCCCGGGATCTTCTGAACGCCAATTTCAATAAGCTTAATTCAAATGCACAAAACTTTTGTAATAAAGGTGGACTGACTTTTTACGTTTGCTTTCCGTGACCACGCACTGCACCTCATCCAATCTGCAATTCGTACACGGAGAACCATTTTCCACCACATCACATCGGACCTTTCGCGCCCTGCAACAACAACAGGCCTTTGATGCTCGTCTTTTCACCGGACGAGATATGTTTTGAAGGCCGGCGGAAACCACTTTCCGCTTATTCAGCGGCTGCGGCGGCTGCGGCGGCTGCGGCTGCGTTCTCTCGACAGATGCCATGGAGAATGATTATAGAAGCTGTGTTCAGATACTGATCCAGAGGGTAGCGGAGGTTCAAGTGATTGAAATTAAGAAAAAAAAATTTTCATCAGAATTATAACATAACAGTAAGTCAAACAAAAAGGATAATTTATTTAACGAAACTGCTCCCGAATTCAAACACCAAGTGTAGAGAGAGCGTATCATAAAAAATTGCTCAAAAAGCGGAGATGGCCAAAATAGTCGGGAAAGGGTAGACAGGAGGGAACTGAGCTCTTATGTAGAATTTTTGTTATTTCAACACCCAAGATCCAGGGTCTGGTTGGGAGTTTTGCCATAGTTGACTCCCCCATATAGGTCTTTGGGTTTCAGGATGTGGATTGTGGGGATCTTGTTCTGGAGTTATGGGGGGGGGGGGGGGGGGGAACTAGATGGCAAAAAATTCCTGGAGCATTCGCAAAATGCGAAGCTCGTAAATAAAGCGGAATTGCTCAAAATGACGAAACGGAACATGCTTGAAGACCACCACCCTGAGCTAGACTTCTTAGGTATGCACCAGAATATGCTCGAATGCCAGGTAACCCAGAACAAAGGAGCTGAACCGCCAATCATCAAGCGGAAGATGAGGTCAACTCCACAGAAAAACTACCGGCTGCCGACCCAAACCCGTATAATTAACCCTGCTTTACTTTAACCGGTTAGTGGTCCGCTGTGCGCTAAGGCTGACTTCAGTATTTCTGCCAAGGGCAAGGTCTTGTTGCCGAACTTCAATCCCGGCGAAAAACGGGTGCATTGTCATGGTGTGGGCATTCCTGGCAGGTCCAAACATTCGATGACAGCAAGACTCTTATCATATGAAATGAGTCCGTTAAAATAATAATATGTGACACCTCAAAGGAGCAGAGTTTATTGTCTTGTGCAAATTTCTTCCCTGATAAATGCAGGCCTCCTAATGCGTATTTCAGTGAGGTTCCATATAAATCGTCTGGCCAGAGGAGCCACAATCAACCAACGACGTGGGAAAAATGCCGAGAGCCGAGTGAGTAATAATTAATGCGCAGGCATTATTTTCACGGCCGAGAGGCGCCAGCCGTTTTTCTCAAGTTCGGCGCTAGTAATTAGGTTTGAAAACGCTCTGCAGTTATGCCAAGCTTAAAAGGCCGAAGCAACTCGGTTGGTGACCGAAGTTCCATTGGGCAATCATTTGTGTGTCTTTGTGCCTGCACTGTGTTCTGTATACATACATGATTATTTGTACAACACATACCTGACAAGAAACCTTCTTTTTAAGAGGTTGGGTTTACCAGTGAATCCGCCTGGATTTGTAATTTATGTCCTGATGTTCATTTTGTGGGGGGCTTGGATGGGTTGGGCACAACTTGCGAAGTACGTTGAACAGAGCTTTATATATCGAAACGGCCAGATAACGTCTTTTTCCCAGGGCAAAGGAAATAACACATGGCAGATTTCTATCAATCCCCGTATGCCCTAACCACCGGTCCGATTTTCGCGATCATGGAACATATCATCCAGCCTGACATGACTTTGTCGATGGCTATTCACGAGCTATTTTCTTTTGACAGCTTTGCTCAGAGAACTAACCACTTGGGAGTTCCAGCGGCTACGTTGGATGGAATTGTGGCGGGTCGGGTGGCCAACGGTGGGACGAACCACCTCCGCAATCATGACAGTGCCTTCGTTGGGCGGATCCCAGTCCTAGACTTCGAGCTGCAGTTTCGAGATCGAGATGCTCTGGTATGGAAAAGCGTCACCCACCCTGCCACGCAACATTGTTTATTAGGTTCAGGGGGGCTGCCATTTCAGCCCTAGATTCCAATCACTCTCTGGTTGGAAGGCATAAAAAGTTGTCCGCCATCAAAATCCCTCTTTAGGGTGAAATGATGCGGAACTCCCCCCCTCAGGACCAATCATTTTTCGATTCAGGAACTCAGGGTAGACCCAGAGACATTATTTTAATAATCCAAGGATCTCAGTAGCGAGTTGAGTGGGATGTATTAGACTTTTGGCTAGCCTGCTTTAGAGATCCATCGCGCCCACGCCACTGGTCAACTCGGGCTGTTCAATGATGGGGGTTCGTTCCGATCAATAAAGCGGGTGAGGGAGGGGTTAGGATCCGAGACGGGGAAAAATAGCATAATCCGGGGTGGCTAAAGTCGAACCCCAAAACTAAAGCTGTCACCATGGAGTTATTCCGTTCTTGATATGATTTATTAGCTGTGAGCCTTTATGCCTTAGTTGCAAACTGGATTTGATATTGGGTGAAAAAATTGATGATTCGTTGGACCTGTGCAATTGGCATTGCCCCCGTGATCTGGATACCCTAACACAGACTTCTTAGCTAGTTCATAGTTCAATGTTCTCAACGTTCATCCAACGGTGTAGACTTGCACTCAGGGGCAAGATGCAACGTACCGAGGATACTTCGAGTCGAGTCATTAGACCCTTCTGCCCCTTTAATCCCTCTCTCATTTCTGGCCACCAACTATTGCTTTTGCATTATGGTATGGAGTCTGTTATGCTTTCGAGACACTAAAAGAGAATCCCCACATTTTGGCCGAACACTGTCCGTCGAACATTCATAACAGTTACCCAAGCTTCATTTCAGCCAGAGCTCTCCAACTGACTAACTACATAACTTAGCTTGAGCGCCACTGGTGTGCGCTCCCCACTTTATTTGTTGGACGGGATTTGGTGTGGAATCGGAACCCCGGAGTCCCCAGAGATTCCGGACATCCGATTTCGGCTGGGATTTGTCCCCCGTTTGGTTGTCCCTGGAGAACTTTTCGCGCCCTGTTGGATGTTACATCTCCTTCAAAACAAGCAGGACACACGGTGTTCTCTCGGTGCCCCCTAACAATCCACATATCTCTCTCCAAGATACAACTGCTTATTCCAATGGTTCTCCTTTCAAAAGTCTGATTCTATGGAGATGTTCAGCGGACTGGTGAAGGATATATGCACGACCCTTCAAATATCTTCTACTAAAGCACACTATTCAAGGACGCATTGCGTCCCAGTCGTGGCCAATGTGTGGGCGTTTTAAGGCTGCTAGTCATTCAAAGATCCCTTATCACTTCGAACCGACGAGACCGAGCGAGCTGTAGTGAACATACGTTTGCAACAAACTCGCCAGTGTCTGATTGTGTAGGTCTTTTTTAACCCCTATAATAAAAAGAACTTTAGCCACTGCAACCTGGGGCTGCAAGGGCTGAAGAGTGATTGTGTAGCTGAAGTTTTGTATATCACTCTTGTCAACCAGTCTCTGTTATCATCATCATCATCAACAACAACAACAACAAAGGATATGAATAGACAAACTGCAGGCATAGCATAACATCACTAGTCTCTATACTTCTATAGGATTAGCGCCATGATGATCCCAGCTTTCCGTTGCTCGTTGATTCTTCTGTGTTTCTTGTCACATTAATTCCATTGAAGCCGCCAATGCCAATAGTGACCGTTTGACTAAAGTTGTGAAATAAATCCGAAGCTAAGAGTTCTGAACATGAATTCCGAGAGCGGATAAACAAGTCAGTGGACCAGAATTGGAATGCAGAGATTTTCCCCATGATGTAGAGTTAACAGTCTTCATCATCCGTCAGACTCAGGGTAGAAGTCACTATCCTCCCCAGTCAATAATTCCCAGGAACAGCATTAGCTCTGCCCCTTTTTTCTGGCTTCTCCATGATGTTATGCGGCCTAAGATCGTCACGAGCGAACTGTTGACACTTCCTCTACTAGAAAAGAAATGAATGAAGGAGCTTAACACATTGAGCTGCCGTGTTGTGGAGTTAGGAATTGAAAGTCCCTGCCTGACCCTTGGGAAGAACCACAATCATTGACATGATATGATATTTCTTCACTCGTTCTCCACAGATTCCCCGAAGTACATGGCAATTGCCCATTGTTGAAATATTTCGTTCAACCAATAGCTATCTGACAGTTTTTTTCTTCTTATTTTTTTTTTCTTTCTATTTTATAATTTGATTTTATCTTTTTTTTTTTTTTTGGAGGTGCGCATTCGCTATATAAACCATGGATGAGATGCAGCCGATCCGCCATTGAGATTGAGTACCAGCCCAATTCCAACAGGGGGATTCTTGTTCCACTCCGCCGCATCCGGGAAAGAAAAAGAGGGAAGCTGTGTTGCATCTCTCAATGGCGTATGTGTTGAAGGTGTTCAACAGTCAATACCTACTGAGGCTAACTCGCAGTTGTGATGCAAATTTTATTCCTTTGGTTGTAGCTGTCGCAAGGAAAGCTGTTTGGTAAGTTATGCTGCCGCGCCTCGTCCCTCAATGTTTGCCCACAGCTATATCAGAATGGACGAAATGTAATATTAATTGCTGGGCCTGTCGTACAGATATATTCCGAGCGGCATCCTAACTACTTAAAGTATACACAGATAGCGAGACCTCCTATTAAGACGGAAGATTGGCAGTTGTAGCAAGAGTATTGCAGCGGTATTGCTGTCGCTAGGCAGATTTTGTTCTAAAGTGTGCAGTTTCTAAGATGGCCTTATTTGGAATTGCCACAAGCATTGTCTATGGATGGGCTAGCTGGTTTAATGGCTTCAACTGCTGCCATTTTTATACCCACTTCATAGACTTTTAGCTATCTGTGAGTTTTGGCATTGTTCGTGGGTTGAAGACTCTATTTTTGGCTGGCCTCAATTCTTTCCCAACTAAATGCCGCTCGCCGTGGTTTGCCGACCCTTCATCGAAATTGTCGTTGCATCGTAATTGAAGCTCTTCATCTCTTATATTTTAGATCCGCGGAGTATATTTCGTTGAGCTTCCTAGGCACCGGTAGAAATTGCAGGCGATATTTTGCAAATACAGAACTCGAGGTTTGTTCACAGTCGTGAAATTAATCCGGAAATCAAAACTGGCAGCTGTTATAAGTAACTTGGAGAATTAGTGAATTTCATATGTCAAGGAACAGGGTAGATGAAGGCTCGACTGGGATGATTTGTAGGTGCAGAAGGCAATCCGGTAACTAGTTTTTTTGTTTTTCATTTTCTAACCATCATTTTCGCTTTGTAGTTAGTTATCTTCCCGAGATCACTTCCCATCATCATCATCATATGGCAAAGAGCGCAAGCGTCAGAAAAAAGTTCTCTGGGTCGCTTTTTTGACCAGCTAGAGTTTTCTAAGCAACATTGGTAGCCAGCCTGTTGTTGTTATCTTTTTCACATTTTTGAAAATCATTGTCCTCTCGATTGTTTTTCACACACTTTTGATGAATATTAATTGACAAGAGTGCATACTATTCAGTGAGTCCCACAGAATTACCATGCAGAATTTATCATGCATATGAGAGAGGTTTTACTGCATTTATACAACTGAATTGCTCATTTGAATCTAATTGAATTTGATCAGATTAGCGTATGATTCGACCTTACAAGCAGAATCACAGAATCAAATCTGACTGTATACACCCTTCCAGAGCACCCGAATGCCATCCCCCGGAGAATCACATGCTGCTACAGTGCAGCGCCACAGCTAAGTATGAGAGTATGTGTGGTAAAAGAGAATGTCATTCGCATGCTGCTCTCTAAGTTTTACAAGGCATTGAACCGCGTTTATATATATACTGGGACACTGAATCACCTTGGCGAGAACAAATACTTCTGGAATTCGCTAAGGCTGATGATATTTTGACATTAAATTTGCACATTTTGGTGCATACGGAGTGAATTAACTAAATCACCCCAACACCCAGCTGATCAACAGTTAACTAGTGTACTCCGTAGAGTGGTTTGACTTCATCAGTTCTTCTTCCACTCAATATTTTATATACCAGCCATCTGCTGCCTTCACTGCTTCCACACTCTCTGGCATGAACACAAAAACGATAGTTAACTGTCAGAGAATACACTCTCTGATTAAAGACCTCTCTTTTTAGCCCTCCCACTCCCTCTCGTGTGTGCAACTCACCCCACCCACAGGAAGACAATCTGTCCGGCCAATACGTTCATTCATTCGTCTCTCTCTTCAAAAATGTATGAATGCCTTACCTGCATTCGCAACTTCTATAGCGAGCATGCTCTCCGGCAGCACATGGATGACAAAAATCACTGGCCGCCACGCTATGGCTGCGAGTCCTGTCCAAAAATATTCAACTCCCAACGTGCAGCAATCCAGCATAAGAATGCCGTTAGACACTGGAAACCGAAGATCCCTTGTGAGGAGTGCTCAGCCATGTTCCATACGGAGCAGGAAGCAGATCAGCACATGAGCCAACTTGGTCACTACAAGCATTACTGCACAAGCTGTCGCCAGCGATTCCAAAACGAGAATAATCTTCGGATGGTTAGATTTCTCGACATCTCTCTCTCTCTCTCTAAACGACCCTTCGAAATGGTCAAATAATGATAAAAGCATGCCTGTAGCACCTTGGCTCCAAAATCCACCGCCCAGCCACTGTCTCCTGCCCCTGCTGCGGCATCTGCTCCTCTGCCACCGGCATCGCCCATCACCTCGAACGGGGTGCCTGTCCTCATGCCCGAAGTCTCAATCGGGAAACCATCTTCCGCGCCATTAGCGAACGTGATCCACATGGATTCATTGCCAATAAACAGATCGAATGGCACCGCGAAAAAACGGTCGAATACCTAGCCACTGACAGCGCATTCAACGGCTACGGCTGGGAATGTTACATCTGCCACAGAGTGTTCGCCTCGATGAGGGCGCTAAATCAACATGTCAATTCGCCTGTCCACAAGCAGAATATTTACCACTGCCCTAATGTAAAATCTAAGTGTGGAAAAGAGTTTCAACCGTGGCTGCACTCTTCAACCACCTAGAAAGTGAGTCGTGTGCTTTCATGAGGTTCGAAGTGGTTCGGCAGCGGGTTGCAGGTGTGTTTGGGGGAAACCGCCTCATATCTTTCTGAAGATGACTGGGTATGCTGGCGCAACCGTCCCGTTTGTGTTTGGCCGAACGGATTTTATATGTTCTGATTCTCGGAGTCTCTTCTCTGCGAAAGCTTAGCAGCCTTTCTGTTACCCTTGCGAATGTAGTATTTAATAGAAGATCGTGGGTTCGTCATCAAGAGAATGTCGGTTGGTACTTTGGCTCGCGTTGATATCTCCCTGGCCAAGCTGGCCACATCGTTAGGAGGTAGAGAGCGGCAAATTCTGAACTAATAGAGAGTAAATACTATCTTCCTCAACTCATCCCTCTCGATGTCCCGCTTGTGAAGGAAATAACAAATACCTTCCTTGAGAGCAAAATCTTCCATCCTCGCCTCCAATTTACTTAATTTCCTGGTGATGTTTAAGTGCATTTCCACTTCAATTTGGAGATTTCTCGAGATATCTCCTCAACCCGTCCCAAAGACACCTTTTTCTTTTTAAAGCCTAGTGAACGCGGAGGAAGATGAAAACTACCTATTCATCAAATCAATTTCGTGAAAAGAAGATCTTCGTGGTTTGGATTCTCATCACTCCATATAGGGATGCAGTTGGGCTTGGAGAAACGAATCATCTAAGGAATCCTTCGTGTTCAAGCATAAAAAAGTGATTTAACCAATATCAAACACCATTTCACCATTTATACATGACCAAAGAAAGCAACAGCAGTGTGTAACATCAAGTATACATAAATCTGACATCCTGAACATTAACACACTCAGATTATATAATCATTTTATCACTCCAAGACAGCAAAATAAAAAGAGCCAATATGGAATTTCAACATCTATATAAACCACCAGCCAAATTCAGACATCCCCCCCCACCTTACAACACAACATATGCTTTTTCCAAAGACACACCTATACACATAGTTTATACACTTAAACTACTAATCCGTTACTTACTTCCCCACCACCACCAACAATGGAAATCGCCATCATCGGCGCGGGAATTGGAGGTTGCGCCGCATACCTCTCCTTGAAAAAGCGCCTCCCAAAGCCTCCGTCTCCTGCCCAAGACCATCAGTTTATCATCTACGAAGCCTACGAAACACCCAGAGACTTTGACTCCCCTCATCCGCAGGAAGAAACCCACTCCGCTTCCTTAGTCGTGGGGGGGGGGGGGTCCCTTGGCGTGGGTCCCACTGGACTCAAGGTCCTCGAGCGTCTCGACGAGGAGCTCTTCCACGATGTCGTGCGGGCTGGGTACCCCTATTGTACCATGAAGTTTATGAACTCATATGGCTGCACATTAATGCGGATGTCCACGCGTGGCGGGTCTGATCCGGAGATAAACTCTGTTTCCATGAGCAGATATGCGATCTGGAGGACTCTACGGCGTCGCATTCCAGATGGCATAATTGTGACTAAACGCGTTTCGGAGGTTATAGCAAATGCAACTGGGAGGAATCTCATCAAGTTTGAGGATGGAAGTGCGGATGTCGAGGTAGACCTTGTAATTGGCGTGGATGGCCTGAAGAGCGCAACGAAGAGAGCCCTCTTTCCTGGTGCGGGGGAAGATTCGTACCCCGCTTGTTATGAGTGGGTTTTGTCCAGAACCTCATTGTATTGATATCTTTGATATGGCCTATCTGACAAATTATACTGCAGAGGCCTGGTCGGTATAGGCGGTTTCGTACCCCTGGCCGACGTCCACGAACACGTCGAAGCAGGGGCAATGACCATTACGTTTGGCAGAAATGGGTTCTTTGGCTATGCGCCCGCAGACACCAGTCCCGAGGAACCCAACCGACACATCCCACAGGGGAAAATGCCACCAGGCGAAACCATCCTGTGGTGGTCTACATATGCGATTGACGAATGTCCCAACCCCAAAACTATCGACAGTGAAGCCGTCCGGAAAGATCTACAGAAGCGGCATGGCAACTTGCAGAGCCCTGTGATCAAGAAGATTATCGATAACGTTCGGGTTGAAACGATGTACCCCGTCTGAACAACCCCTGAATTGCCGACGTGGCAGCGCGACGGCGTCGTGCTGATCGGGGACGCCGCACATACCTTACCCCCGACATCGGGACAGGGGACATCGCAGGCACTGGAGGATGTCGAGTGTTTCTCTATGTTCTTGGCGCACTATTTGGGACAGATATATCATGGCGAGTCTCCAGTATCCGGGGATGCGACGGAAGCCGACGCCATTTCGCGCGCCTCGGAGAAATATATGGAAATGCGCCAGCCACGGGTCAAAGACATACTGTCGAAGGCGAAGCGGATGGAAAGCAAAAAAAGGGATCTGAGCATCGTTGAAGAATGGATGTTGTATCTGATGCTTTTCATCTTTGGTACGTTCCAGAAAGCTTAATGGAACAGATGATGGACTCCCCCCCCTCTGTGTCCTGTATGAAACAATGATAACCAGTTAATTGATTGATTGACTAACCACCGCCGTTTTGGGGCCGCAGGTCATTTTCCAACCATCCCCTGGGTGAAAAATGCATATGCCTACAACGTTGCAGAGGAAGTGAACAGAGTCATTGAGACTGAGAAGAAGCGAAAACTTTCAGAAAAAGATAAGTAGTTAACGATGAGAGAGTCCTCAAAATGCTCCTACAGCTAATGCCCATTAAGTCGATATACCTCTATTTCACTGTTCTCATCTGTTTTCTATTAAAATTTTACCTCTTCTCCGCTCTTCAAATCAAATACTTATTCTTGCATGTCTGTATGTAATTCTTTTATACCTGCATGCCCATAGCGTGACGCATCGACTTCACAAATTTTTCTTATTTTATTTTATTTTATTTTTTGGCATAGTGCAACACTCAAACAATGGGGCAAAAAGGAGGAGAAATCATTTTAAGTAGTCCTAAAAGAAAATTTAATATACTCCTGGTACAACTCACTGATAAATATGCTCCTACAAGAACTAAGAACATTAACATGCGTCTCATCAAATGAATGCATACATCCATATTGCAAAGTCAAGTCGCCAGAAAAGAGCTGTGAATAGAAACTAGCACATTATATATATATGTATATATCCAAACAGTGGACAGCTAGTTAAACAGAATACAAAAATCATTCATCATAACTCTTTTTATCTCCAATGGGAGGTAATTAGCTAATCTAACACGAGACAACCATTTTTCATCAGGACAAAGGGAAAACGTAACGGAAAAGAAAAAAAAACAATACAAAGAAAGAAGAGGGAAAAGGAAACCGTCATCACCTCCATCCATCCCCGAACACCCATCTATCTAAACACCACCCCCACCTCTCCCCATCCTCTCTATAGAACTCATAATCCCACTCCTCCCCGCCGTACTCGCAGGCATCCCTCCACTGGTTGGTAAACCCGAACTAATAGATTTCCTACTTCCATTGTTGCCCCTGGAATTGCTGGGAGGCATTCCGAAACGCGGAACTCTAGGCGTTGGAACACCTGTTGGAAGCGCTGCAGCTCGGGGTCGTATGGCTGAGGAAGGTGGGAGCCGGCCGATATTACTGCTAGACGCAAAATTTTCGTTCAGGGGTTGCACTGGTTTTTCGATGCCGGTGTCACAGTGTGTAGTTTGTTCGTCTTCAGATAGGGAACGCCGGTGGGAAGCCGGTGGCTCAGGGAGTTTACGTTTGGGTTGATATTGTTCTGGTTGTTCTTGACCTTCGGGAACTCGTTCTTTCTCAACTTGCTGTTGATCGTCCTGGTGTTGATGCTGCTGGTGTTGATGTTGCTGGATCGCAAGCCACTCATCAACAGCTGCCACGAGCTCACCCTTTTCCGTGCGTTCCTGTTTCAACTCGGACCGAAGAATTTCACTATCGCGCTTAACAGATACAAGCTCCTGCTCTAGCCCTTTAACACGAGCTTCTAGAACCCGCTTGTCGGCCTCAAGAGATTCAGTTTCACGAATAAATGTAGCTTCTCCACAGAATCCACCTTCTCCAGGAATGTCGGAGTCCTTTTCTGCCTTTAGACGTGCATTCTCCTCCAACGCCTCCTTCAACTTCCTCTCAGCTTCCCTAACTCGTTTCTCCCACCGTGCCTCATAGCTCTTTTTGAGAGCAGCAACCTTTGTCTCATGCTTTCCTTTGTAGAGTGTATGTAGTTCGCGAGCAACTCTCTCAACAGCGTCCTGCACTTCTCTAGCTGTTTCTTCAGCCGACTTATTCTCGGTCCCAGTTGGGGGGGATGTATTTGCAGTATTTCTGGCGGCTGAAAATTGGCTCTCTAACTCCACAACCCTGCTCTCCAATTTCTCCTTGCACTTTTCAGCTTCCTCTATTTTCCTGTTTAGCCTCTCACGCTCACGCTCCCCATCGACAATCTCACTCCTGACACCCCTTAAAACGGTCTCCATCTCCTTCCCTCGCCGTTCCCATTCTTGAAGCTCATTTTGTCTCCGTGAGGATTCATTTCTTAACTCCTCGGATACCTCTCCGACTCTCCGTTCAGCATCAGCCACGGACTCCTTTAGACACTTAACTTCAGCTTCTCTTCCACTAAGTGTTGCTTTCAGAGAAGATATCTCCGACAGGAAAGAAGACTTCAGTGACTCCAATTCCCTTGGAGTTATGCTTGGAATAGATCGCGGAGTGGGAGCAGGTGGGATGTCAAGATCCAACAAGGAGAACTTCGACGGGGACCTAAACCCGGACGCCGTGGATTTTGAAGGAGAAAAACGGGAATTTCTACGGGATGGGGACATGTAACCATTGTGCAATACATAGGAGGCACGGGAATAGGAGTTGGGCTGGTCAGTGAAGTCGATAATATTCATATGATCGTCACCCCTAGGGCAGGTTTGTCCAGGTGCAGGTGTTCCTTTGTCTTGCTCCGAAAAAAGCTCTCTCTTCTCGACTGTGTTGGGAGTCTCAAGTGTATCATGTGTATATCTGGCCATGCGCATATTTTTTCGAGGGCTGATAGAAGCCTCTCTCATCCGCTTGATCGGCGAGTTTCGTCTGAGTTGGGCAAAGCCAGTCATATCAAGATCAGGGACAGCAGAAAAAGCACTGAGGCATGTATCATCCTGATCACCTGGAGCTTGGTGGTCATTCCCACGACCATTGTAAGAAATTCTACCAGGATCGTTCGAAGCTACCTGGTAGATGGTGCTCATGCTTTCGTCGTTTTTATCGTTCATCGTGATATTTGATACTTCGTCGTAGTTATTTTCGCTGGCAGGCGTGTTAAGCAGGCTCGCTTCGTTGCCTAAGCGGTAGGTCTCCCGACTTCCTCCACTAAAAGAATTCTGCGTGTTGTTATTGTAATTGTCATCCACACTGTCCTCCTTGGTTGTAGGAGGAACCTCATCCCGATGCGAATCCTCTTCTCTCTTTACTTCCAAGTCATTCGTAAGCTCCCTGCTATCCAACTTCTCTTCCTGGGGCCTATCAAGCCGAAAGTCGCCAGATTCCGCCTGTCCAAAAACAGGTGTCTGGTCATTAAAAACAGTCGGATGAAACGGCGAGCTTTCTGGCCCTTCCTCAAGCCCACTGAGGGCATTTTCATTACCAGATTTCGCATCTGATGGGGCCGGAGAATCATTATATGTGGAAAGGCGCACATTCTCTTCATTATAAAGGGAAGTTTTCATTGGAGTTGTGCTCGAAAAATTATCAAGCCCCTTGTCCTTGGACGCTGGGGAACATGTCTTATGTGAAGGAGTATTTGCGCTGGGAGAACATGGAGGTCGAGCATTCCGCCTCGAAGGTGTGAGGACGGATAGAGGGCTTTCCATTATGTTCTGAGAACAATGACGGAGTTCGTTTATCCAACTTGTGCTGGTTCTGTATTTTCTAGTTCATTGAATAGTTAAAAGCGGCAATTGGAATAGTTCAGGTGGGCAGCAAATGGCAACACCCAGTGAAGAAACAGGATTAGAGAAAGACCTACTCGAAATTGACAGACTTCCTCTTAAAATAAAATGATTTGCGCTGCAAGTCACAGTAAGAAAATGCGAAGCAGTGTTTTACATGAGACAAGTCATGACTTGTGGAAGATTGAATTGACGATTGCCAGAATGATGATAATGCTACAAACCGAAGATGTGTCCGTTGCTGTGGAGATATTTTTGGTGGGGCAACGGGTGTAAACAAAGCTAAGCCGTTTACAGCCTAGTCCAAACCGTTTGCAGTTCACAGCAGCAAATGGATATCACGTGATACCACAGTCTCGGATTCAAGTTCAAACAACCGTAACATCCATTGGATTGAATTCAACAATTGTAGCGAGCTTTCTATGGAGATATAGGTTAGTGCAGTGAAGTTTATATATATATATCTATCATTTCTAGTCGTTACTGAAGCTATTCACTTTTGGAAAAATATGAGCAACCATTTGAACGCCATACAACAGAATCAAATATCAAAACAGAAGGAGGTTGATGGATGAATACAGCGCTATTTCAAACCAGTGCTCACCACAAAAAGAAAGGAGAGGAGGATTCCATCGCTAACAAACAAAACAACTCTAACAAGACCAGTAATGGATCGGAGCAAGCTCCCGGACATTCCCGGTCTATTGCGGATATATCAATATAAAACACCCAAGTGATGGTTTGATCCCGCTACACGCGATCATGGACAGTAACATGCACGTCATTAGCCAGGGGTTCTTCTTCAGCAGTATGACGAGGGTGGAGGAAAATATCTGTGGACGAAACTGCCAGAGGTGTATGTTTCCTCTCCTGTATACAATACAACTGGCAAGCCCCCACAGCAGCAACAATCGCACTAGCCCACCATGCAAGGCCAGTAAACCCAACCTTCGAACCAATGCTATACAGATAGCCGGCAATCGGTGGCGCTAGTGTCCGACAAGCAGCGCCTGCGGAAGCGGCAAGGCCGTTAATTTTGCCAAGCACAGAGTGTGACGGACATGTCTGTTTAATGAGGATCAACAGGACTGGGTAGTCAAGTATAGAGAAAAAGTTGCGAATTGTCAGACAAGTGTAGATTCCAGTGAAAAGGAGATTTCGCGGGAGAAAGGCGAGGAAAGGCACTATGAAGTACGCGACCGGATGTAAAACGGTTACGAGCACGAATAATTTCCATACGTCAAGCCATTCCGCTAAGAGAGGAAAGACTATGGCTTGGATTAGAATTGCTATCACACCGTTGACGGCCATGATAAATCCAACAGCCTGGACAGAAAGGCCCAGGCCGCTCGGGATATTAAATATTGATTTTACCGTGGTATCGGCTGTCCCGGTGCTTTTATCCTGAAGGAATATAGGGAGCAGATGATCGTAGGTCATGGAGTGATACGTGAATATCCCCAGAGCAATGACTAACATGGTGACACGGTATGTGAAGACCTTAGCTTGATCATGAGCGCAACCTTCGAAAGCCTTTCCATCTGACTCGATGTCCCATTCTTCGTCCTTATGCAGTTTTACATCGTTGAAAGTTCCGTAAGAATTTGCTCGCAGATCCGCTGAACCATGTGCGGTAGAGGCTCCTATAGCAACTGCAGCCAGAGATGCCCCGAGCTCACCCCCGTCATCTGGATGTCTGGCAGCCTCACCACCCCGGCGCAAGTCCGGATGAGTCTCGTCCAGGAAAAAATACCCCGCAAATATACTTATCAACTGTAGAGTTGAGCAGATTAGATTTGGGAGAAGGTAAGGTAAAGTACCAAAAATCCCAGTAGGAGAGAATACAGACGGAAAGGAATCGGCAGGCCTTGCGAAGAACCCTCCAATAGCTAGAAGATGACAATATCAGTACCAAACGTACGAGCCAACAGTAAACTAAGAGCTAACTTAGAGGGTCAAACTTACCTGGACCGATTATTGTTCCGATCGACCAGACAAATGGCATGACAGCGTAGGCGCGAGCTGTGGAAGAATCTAGTTAGCTGGCTAGTACAACAATATATATCTCATAAACCAGGAGAACAGGCGCCACCTACGCTCATGTTCAGGCTTCTTGACCAGTTCCCCCACCATCGTCTGGACAACACCTATATTTCCGTTTAAAACACCACCCACGACCCTACCAAGAAGAGCTACCCAGAAGCTAGTGGAGAAGCCGACGATAAGAAGGGAGAGCATGGTACCTACGCAGCCGAAGAGAAGGACCGGCTTACGACCAACTCTGTCGGAGAGGCCACCCCAGTAAATGCCTGTCAAGCTCTCCGCCAGAGCAAATGCGGAAATGAGGATTCCAGAGTATAAGGAGGCATTTTTTTCCTCGCCCATATGGAAATCCTTAACCATAATCCATGCGTAAGGGAAGATGGAGGTTAGGGCGATGGGTTCCGCCAAGCGGCATATCGCTGCCCAATTGTCAGCAGTGATGGAGGGGGGTGTTGGGAAAACTTAATCTTATGGATAGAGGATATACTGACCCAGAATAAAAAGTTGGAGGGTGGGGAAAGATTCATTGGGGGATTCACGATTATTTGCAGTAGTCGAGGTTCTGGGGTTTGGTCTTTGCGGATGGGTTAATTTCATATTCTTCACAGATCGATTTGATCCTTACAGCTATCCTCCCGTCAACTTCGACACAAATTACTTCGCGCGTCTTGTTCACGGTCCGCTATATCTGGGCATGTAGGGTAGGACTGGGTAACACGTTGACTGCTTGCTATTACCGCCCAAACAAACAAACAAAAAAGGAAAAGAAGAGAAAGTTCTGCTCCGCGGCGGCTTGAGAGAAATCCTTTTCCAGTCTCGCTTTTGCCGTGAAACTCGCGACAAAGTGTTGCAAAACAGAGCACCGGGGGCGAACGAAGGGCAGTGGAAGAGTTTGTTGCTTTCAACGAACGCACTGGAAAAATAGATCAAGGGTGCATATTCAAAAATATATGCGTCAACGTCAGCGGGTTATGGGAACGTGACACTTTTGAGTTGTGGCCGGCCAGAGTTGATTTTTTTTTTTAAATAGTTAACTCCAAGCGAAACTTAATTTGCCACGAAGAATTGGATAACTACTGGGTACCTGGTCCATTATCCAGTCATCGAACGATAATAAGCATTTCAGTTATTATTCGGTACATGAGAAGCGAGAGGAAGTTCCCCACACCCACGGAATATTGTTTCTCACAACTGCCAGAAAGGGAAGAAGATTACGGGTCGATGTAACATCTTGAGCAAAAGTCGGTGGAACAGGTTCAACTTGAAACGATTCGGGGGCAGCGTAGAATGGCCAATCAAAGCAAGCCATCGATAACTTCTGTATGCTGGCCGGCCCGCCAAACCCGTGCGAGAAAGAAACTCAGGCGGTCAGATGGCGATTCGATGAGCTAGACTCAGCAGTTTAACCAAAGGAATGATCAAACGAATGAGATGAAAATAGAACGGAGATGGGACGAACACAGGCAGTGACGGGATTTATTTCATAAAGTCAATATTAAATTTACATGATAACATGAAGATCATGACCGTCAATTGAGGTTTAATGAAACACGGAACTTCTCCCTGCGAAAATCTCGAGCTCAACAACAACTTTCCACTAGAAACTGGTAGTAAATGAACCTCACAACAAATCTCCACCCAGTTTACAAATTCCCCACAATTAGCCGACATTGGCGCAATGGCCATTACATACAATCCACTTAAAGTTCCGCTGGGATCATGACAGTTACTAAGCCGAATAGAACTTGCTAGAAACGACAGGCTGTCTTAGAGGATGTTGCATTATGTGACTCTAAGCAAGCTAGCTAGCTACTAATAAATACACATGTGCACGTGACCTCGGGTAGTCGGGGAATCCTCTAACAGGCTGCTTAGCTAAAGTAAAGCAATCAAAGCCGTAACCAAGACCAGCCCATGAAGGCGAAACACGGTTTGGCATACGGCTTTAATTTGGCGCTATTTGACCTCCGTATACATATGTATGTATACCATTGAGGTGCGTCATGGCGGTAGGGATATAAAACTCCACTGCGCGAATTGATATTGTTGATACGAAAGATGTCCCATGAGGTGGGCTCGCTGCTAGGTTCTTCACGCCACCAAATCACCCTGCCATGGGCTCTGTAGGTATTGAAATTGATGCGAAAAACGTAGCCAGATTTTAATGCAATTATGCGATGCGCGATCCTCTCTTGGTTCATAAAATTCCCGAAATGGGAGGGATCCATTTGTGAGGAGCCATAACTCTAACCAAAACAAGATTTAGAAAAAGCGCCATGCTAAGATACATGAGTCGAAATCCAAAGAAGCTTTCCATCGCTCACAACTATTCCTGATCCAGAGAGCAAAAAGAAATCACAAACGCCTTGTGAAAAAAACACCAGACACTAATCATGCATATATCGATATTAAAAAACCTATTGTTCTTGACCAGATAGAGAAAGATATGATCTCCTCTCTCTTATCGCCTAATCCAAAGGGAACCAAGAAATTAGCGGAAACTGAAGTGGCTCAAAATATAAGGAAAATAACGCTGGTTGCACTCTTCCCTGTTGTCATCACGTAGGAAGGAAATAAGACGTACTGATATCCATTTCTCCGCGCATGGCTTTATTGCCGCCCAGACCAACAGACTGGCTGTTGCAATAATGAAAATAAAAACGACCGCTTTATCCTTGTTGGAATCTCGCTCTAATGATGGGTGGAGATTGCTGTCAGTTAATCAAAACCTTCTTCATATACAGGGGAGAGTATATATTGCAGATTCATTCAAGGTGGGGTGTTTAGCGGGGGGGGGGGGG